ACGACGAAGAAACGGGATGGTTGGATCGTGCCGCTTCGGAACACGGGACGTTCGAGTTCCTTCGATTTTCGCGACCGTTGTATAGTAATCGAGACATCATTCCTTCGCGAGTACATCTGTAGTTAGAGTAAGTTCAACTAGCAAGGAACGTCACACGATCGTAACATACCGATTTTTATGAAACTTTCCGCACAGAGCATCGGAATGTTAACACTAAAGTGTCTGGTAGGCTCATTTGATCTATGCGTTACAGACTTCTTTTAAAAGACTCTTAATTATTAAGAATTCTTGACGATTATTGAAATAGAGAATTAATTACATCGATAAATTTATTTGCTCTTTTCCTCTTAAAGATATAGCAATATGTACTAGAATAGATATGCATTGATCTTTGGCACACTTTTAGTGTTAAACAAGTTTTTCTTCTATATCTGCTGATCCTCAAGGGTTGAAAATTACGGAAAGGATTCTACAAAGGGATTTATAAGGAATTATTGCCTCTATGACTACGAAACTTTGTTACAGACAAAGTGGATATAATTAACTACATTTTTCAAAAAGATTGATTTAACCCACTTCTATAATGATCTCGCTTCACCCAACGAGTTTGAAGCTACTTTTTATCTCATGAGTATCAGCGGACAGACAGTAGGCGTCTAATGTTTGGCAGTGTCCTATCTGCGCGTAAAGTTTCATCGAAATGGTCGTGTTACACTCGAGCCAGGTTCCTTGCAAGGAATAGAGCGAAAGCTTATTTTTTGTAACGAAGTGTATCGATAACCTTGCCGAGACGAGTAGAAATCGATTGTGAGTCGTAGTCGTCCGAAGCCGATCGCTTCCCGACAGGCGACACGCTCGGGTGCGTCGATCGTTTGCGTGTAAATTGTTGTTTGTATTTCTAATAGTCGCAAATCGCGCGAAAAGCGACACTGTCCTTTCGTTTCGCTGGTTTAAGGTAGCACGTTCAATTCTCCCGCCCGATTTCACCATCCCGAGTGGATCCTTCGAGGGTTGAATGAAAAAGCTTCCGAGTTTTTAATTTCTGCAAAAATGAAGATATTTTTGACCTAATCGCATCGTCTTAAACCTAACTCAGAACGCGAAGGTTACTTTTTAAGAAATTTATCCTCTGCCAGGAGGCAACTATGCAACAAATTAAAGGCAAATGAGATTGTAAGTCTCGAGCATTGATTTGGTTTTTCGTTCGTTGAAATACTTAAGTTTTTTGTGGATAAAAATTAAGGGCATTTTTCATTCGACTCTTGCTATTTAGGTAAAAGGGTGATCCCGAAAGCGAGAGCGAATGGAGAAGCTCGACGAACGGGTATTGTTCGCTCTGGCGACTATTTCATATGTACCTCACCGCTCGCAGACGTAAAGTACTATCGTAAGATTATGGATTTAAGTAGAATTAGTTTACGCTACGGTAAATACGTTAGTGTGCAGTTTACGTAAAGATGTCGATAGTGTGTCGAGAGGAACGCATTCCCATAAGTTTCGAATTAATGATTCCGATATCGCGCGTGCCGCTGTTCCTGCGTTCGATTTTTCTTCCTTTCGTCGTCGAAACGAGGTATAATTGAGACAGTGAGATAAAAGGAACGGTCGCGGAAAGGTAACAGACTTGGGCGCATTCGATATAACGTTACTTGAAATATTACTTCGGATAACAGGCCATCTTCTTTCGCCACTGTATTACTTCCTTAGAAGCGCTATTGTATTCGAAATAACAACACACTTTCGAAAACAACTCTACAACTACAAATCTCTGCGCGTTATTAAAACGACGACGAAAGAAAGAAGTTCCTAATCATTTCATACTCGCAAATGATAAATAATATTGTAATTCCTGCTGTTTCAAAATTTATTTCAAGTAACGTGTAACTTCCATCGAATGAAGTAATATTTACTTCGAACGATGAAGTTGCTTTGTAAAACGTCGCAAGAAACAGAAGACTGAAATAATCGTTTCGAAAAGAAATGTTGCCAAGTCTGCGAGGAAAGAATGGGGTTTCGGGATAGAAACATCGAGTAAAAAGACGCGATCACGTCGGGTAACGAAAATCGTATTGTCCCCGAACGGATTGGTAAATTTACCTCTCTCGGACTATTTTTCTCAGTCGCAACTGTAGATCACCGAATTAACGTCAATTCACTAACGGTCGTTCGGATACCTCATTTTTTTTTACCAGCTAAAAAAAGAACGAAAACAAAAGGTAAACCTAACTAAATACGTTGTTTACCCACCTAACACCAACAATATTGCGTACGTTATGCGCGATATTGTTTTCACGCGTGACGCGTACACGCTTCTCGAGCATATTTTTTCTCGTACGGAACCCACGAATACCGTTTTATAAGTGACACCTTTTAAGATTAACTTTTATATGATTCATGCGGAATGTTCAAAAAAAAAAAAAAAAAGAAAAAAAAGAAAAGAAAAAAGAAAAAAATATATAAATAAGATGCATTATTTTCTCTGTGACACTGTATGCGAGCAAACTTGTCCAAGTTTCATCCCCTCCAATTTAACATCGGGTTTCCTGTTTGAACATTGACATACATATAAAAAGGTGTAATAAACCCGCGGAATCACCCTAACTTAATTTTTCTAACGAATCGTACTCGTGATCTCTTGAATGTCGAGCAAAATCGGAGGGCGCAAGTGAACGGCTATATCGCGTTATTTTCTTCTGTTTGTGTTGTCTTTATTTATTTATTAATTTTTTTTTTTTATTTTAAATTTCGTGTTCGACTTAACGGTGCTTTTTGTTTGTTCTCGTGGAACACGCTGGGTAAACGACTGCTTAGGGTACGAAACAAGGGAAGGCGAGAACGTAGTCGATCGCAGCGGGAGTAATGTAAATTTCGTACCGCAGGTATGCAACCCCCTTCCATCGATCGCAAGTAAAAAGAGACGCGTATCACGACCTCCGCGAGAATCGTTAATGGTATATCGCGGTCGTCGATAACGGTAACGCATATAATGTAAATATCGACGCCGGTATTTTTTGTTTCTCGATCATTTGCATTTCCCTTTCCAATATCTCTATGTGCGGCTGAAATTTTCACGAGACTGACGCTGACTCTGCTTACAGGGGAGTCGACGTATTTGTGACTTTGCGAACTAGTCTGATCCAGGCGGGGACCGATCCGAGCTAAACTCCTCTCAGAAACAGTTCACCTGACCGCAACGGATCGTCGTCTCGTTACGAGCGTACCGATCGTTCGATTACCAACGAATTCTGCCTGCGTCTCTGCCAGTTCATCGCTACGCACGCATATACTTCCGCATTCCCCTTCTTAAATGCCGGTAGAATTTTGTTATGCCTTTTGCGTTTCATTTCTCGTTTCTTCTTCTTCTTAATTATCGTTAATCGTTTGTAAGATGTCTCTCCTCGTTGGCACCACGGGCGTATCTTCGATAAAAACGCGATCGCTTCCGGCTTATCGCTGCGCAGAAACTCCATACGAGTGGAACGAAAAAAGACGGACGCCGTATTTTAACGTCGACTCGATAGAACCTCTGTTTACGCTTTTGACGATCAATGTACCATACATTGTTGATTAGTTTTAAAGTTGCCCCGAGACGATACGCATGATCACGCGTCGTTTCGTTTTTATACCGAAAACAATCGTAATATTTTCCCGCGGTCCCCACACTGACCGTACGTCGTTCGTGTGACATTTTTTTATTCGCACCGACTTAACGTTAACTTTACTTGTAGGCTCGTCGAACATTTTCTCTCATTCTTTTTCTTTCTTTTTATTTTATGTAAGAAAATAACGTTTTATTTGTATCTCAGCCAACGATTTCCACGGTTTCTTCTCAGTTCAGCGTTCAGCGAATCGAATCGAGAAACTTAATTTTCGCCTCTTTACGAATATTAACGAAGCGACAGCGGTCGCACTTACGTTACCATTAGTTGTTGCTCGATACAATTCCGCGAACGTTTGTCACATTTCTTTTTTTGCGAATTCATTGTCATCGAGCGCGAAAGGTATCTTCGCCGCGTTACGCGGCAAAGTTCTAGATCTGAAGCAACGAGGAAGATAAAAAAAGATCCATTTATCGAGCGTATTCTCCATAACCGGAAGCTTTACTGGGACCAATAAATTTGTTTGTAAGTTTTCGCGTGTCAACGGATACAAATTATAAATGTAGTTAATTACTGTAAGATCTATTTATGGAAATTTCAATTTTCTCAGCGTGCAAAGTACAAAGTAACACGACCAGATCTCAAGCATTTCCAAGTAATTGCGTTTGCTTTTTAAGAAATTGCGTATACTTAAGATGTTTTGTATAATCGTTGTTAAGCAATTAGTTAGGAAATTTTTTTTAGAACTGTTCGACAAATCTCGTTGTTTTTCCGTCGATGTCTTTAATGCATCGATGCATGGGGAAGACAATCGAAATGCAACGCGCATCAGGTTACACGCTATCTCAGACATTGCATTTTATTAAAAAAATCTTTTTTTGTTCGATTTGACTGATCTATATCAAACACATTCGCGCGGTTTGCGTTACAAAATCTTACAGGACAAGTGGGGTCGTATGAAATTTGTCTCGAATGCGACCCGAGATATGTACATACAAGAATGTAAATTTTTATAAATCTTACGATAAGAGTACAGAACAGGATTAAATTCTTTTTCTTTCATTTTATACACATTAGACAGAGTGATCGCGAGTATTCGACAAGGAAAGAATCAATTGAGTTTTGTATCTAGCTTATTTTCAATGCTGCTTGCTTCTCAACGTCGTAACAGTTTATACGAAATCGATGCGCCTTGATCGAAATGAAATTATAAACGAGATAATAATTTGGAGTATACGGTAGCGCGGTATCCTCGAACGAGGTATTACAGTTTGTAAAGTAAGAAATATCGTACAATACAAGAGAAGTACAAGTTCTTTCTACGATGCAATTTGCAACGGCACAAATTTCTTTTCACCTTTGTCGTTCTCCCAATTCGCGTTCCGCGCGAGTTAAAAGCGTACAAGAATCCGTTTTACCTTCCCCTGCCTCGTCCACGATTAAACCCACCCCTGCCACGACCGGTAACCTTTCCTTTGGGTGGCGGAGACTTCGGTCTGAGAGCCTCTATGCGCTCGGTGCACCCGGTCGTGATTTGACCGTTTGCAAAGTAACTGGTGTAAAGATCCGCGTTAAAGTTCGTGTTCGTCAATTCGGGTCCAACGGTGAGCCATCCTGGCCGAATCGTACTGTCTCGACCGAACAAGTGTAACCTGGAAAAACAATCGAATCAATTAGACGGGAATGAAGTGTGTGGTTTTTATATTTCGGTTACTTTCATTTACACGTTGCTCTCACCGTCGTCTGCCAAGACAAAAATGCTCGATTATGTGAAATATTTCTACGGGCTTTTCTATAGAACCATACTCTGGTTCCTCCGATATAATTAGGTCGATATCCACGTTAGCATGGATAAAATCACCGTCCGTGGATCGCCTCACGGTCCCTTTGATTCCCATCAAACAATGTTCCTTGGTTCTTTGGAGGACTGCTTTGCTATCCAAATTTTTACTGTGGCCCGGATTATTAATGTTGGTGCGAATCCAACAAATGTCCTCGCATCGTCTGAAGCCCCATTTGCGAAGACAAAAACGTCCCATGTCCAGTCCGTCGCTGCTGCCGCACCACAAGAACACAAAACTTCGATTCGCAGCCACTTCGCCGATGTCCAATTCCATTATCTGTAAAGGTAACTTTACTTTTATTTTATCGATACTTAAAGACTATAAGAAGGTAAGCTTCAAAGGAAAAAAGGAGTGTCGAGAGGATCAAGGGAGTTTGACATCATCTGTTTTAGCTTTATTCGCGTTACATTTTATTCACCTGATCCCAATTCCAAAGCTGAACGTTCGTGGCACCGCACGTGCGTTGATACTCCTCCAATGGAGGCTCGATGAGTATCACGTCGAATTTGCAGTTGAGTTCCTTTAAATTGTATGTAAGCAAATCCGTTTTTAGATACATAGGTGGAGTAGCGGTTTCCGCTATCAAGTCGTCTTTCAGCTTGATAAGTTCCCGCAACTTCGGGTATTCCTCGAACCTGTCGGCCAGACCTACGTCTCTGATAAAATTTTGCGGCCGCTGACCCGTGTCGATGAAATGCTGACAGTAATCATTGTGTGGATTCGACGACTGTGTTCCCTTTGACAATTCAACACGAGTAAAGTTATTTTTGTTTCCATCTATATATTCTTTACAGAGCATTGTGTTCGCATACCATAAAATGAAGCATATTAGCACCAATCCTAATATGAATTGATTATGGTTTTACATGATGCTGGTCATTGCATTACTGTTTCCACAGAAGAGAAACTATGTTTTGACCTGTTTATTTCTCCCGTTCAAATTATACGTACCTACGGAGAAAAAGATTAATCTTTTTCAAGTTATGATGTAAGGTAAGGTAAATACATTATACGGTACCTTCAAAAACGTTGAGGAATCCTTGTAAACGATTTCGTCCGCTGTGGTCGCATCGCTCTTCAAATCCTTCACCCCATTTTCCGACTTTTCGGGTACCGATTTTACTTTCTTCTTTTGGGCGTCATCGATATCCGTTCCCAAAATCTGTCGCAGCTCGTCCACGCTCGAAACGCCTAGCTAAAAGGAAAATCACAGTATTTGGTACACGATGTTTGCAGAATCATAACCTCAAAGATACGATACGTGAAACAATTTCGTCTCACCGTTTGCGCTAGAAGTTTCTTGCGTTTTTGAGACCGTTCTCGAAGCGTTTGTAGCATTTTTCGTTGATTGCCAGAAACTATTGAATCTAAATGTATAAGTTTAACCTATTTATTCATCGCTGCTCGTTGTTTTGCGCGTAGCATAACCACTGGCGATGCAATGCAGTCGAGGGCTAAAGGAAATGTACACATTCAAGAAGATACGATTTTATCTTGTATCATTTATACAATTATAGAAGTTCATGTCAGAGTTTTGTATTAGATCTTAATTGACAGACGCTATCAATTATAATCTTTCACAATGAAAACATACACTGACATGTCATTGTACAATCGAGCGACCTCTTTAATTACGCTGTAGACGAATTATCAAATTGAATGGATTGTCAATAGAACTTTGAATTCATAGTTTTAATCCTTTGTGGTCCCTTGTCGTGTCCCAAGGTTCGATAAAAAAAGTAAGGAAATTAGAAAGTTTGAATCACAAAGGATTAATTACTAAAGTCAGTACACGTATTCGTTGCATGATTAGAATGAAAGACAAATGAATATTCTACATTTTTTCGTGAACATAGTGTTCCAATATTTTTTTAATACTGACACTTTTGTGTCACATTAAATAGGATAAAAATGTAAAAACATTAGAACAAATCTCATCTATTTATTAATTATATTATCTACGGAGACGATTTCATAAGGAATCGGTATCGCCATCTAGCGTTTAATAGCCGAACTAATCCTTTAAAAAAACTGTCCTTGTGGCGCCATCTAGCCGTTGAAAAAGAAACTATTCAGCGACAAGCTTGGACGTTTTCCCGGTGGTGCGCTGTACGGAGGTCGGGATTTTAGTTCGTCCTTTTCACCGCTAGATGGCGATACCAGACCTTGCCCCGTAAATTGAGCGCGGAGATTTATAATGCATTCAAATTTGAATTTAATTATATAATCAGTAATTACAGTATCTTCCAGCGGAGAGAGAAAGAGGGAGAGAGAGGAGCGATTCGGCAACGGGCCGACGTCGAATTCAAAGAGAGCCGTTGAGCCTAAAGGAATTAAATTTTCTATGTGTCGCTAAACACTTATTATGTACTTGATAAACCGCGAGAAACTGCGAGAAACTTTCGTTGTTCGAACACACATTTAATACCAATATTAGATAGTACGCATATCGTTCAGGCTCCAACAGTCACCTATAACTGACGATACAATTGCGTTCCTATTTGAAATATTAATTAGCTTAAATCTTCTAAAGAAAAGAAAATGTTTGCGCTGATTTGTATTTGGTTGCCGGGTTATTCGGGACAGGGAGACGCAAGAAGGAGCGATCGAAAGCGAAAGTTAACGAGGGGCGAGAAAGAAAAGAGCGCGACGTGAAAGCGCGGAACACGTGAAATAAAATAAGCAAGATAAGGCGGTCTCTGTGCATAGACGCGAAGAGGCAGAGGCGGATACGGGCACGGGTGAGAGCACTACGAAGCAGTATTTCGCGTTTCTTGGGACTTCCCTCAGTTGGCTTTCAAATCGACGCGTGGTCGGTGATCGTCGCCGCAAACGTCAATCTTAAACAGCCGCAAACTGCGAATTAAAACGGCGTGATTCCGTCGATGGGGACACGAGTCCGTCGCGATACGCGTCTATTCGTGGTTACCTCGTATGCGAAACGAGCCTAAGTCGAACTGGAAATCTGTCAAACGGGACACGTGATGTTAGACCGCAGGAATAAAATGTAAGGCGTGAAATGAATGGTAGGGAACCAGTTACGATTAACGTTTCCACCTTGGCGAGAGGTAGGGATGAGACTAGCCGAGCACATCTATCTTCTAATTTTCACAGGAGATCCTCAGAGTACTTGTAAATCGAGATCATGGCTTTTTGTACATGAAGAACAAACATAATGCGTGTAACCTAGGCACGGGATGACGAATCTTATCGTGATCGAGTGTCTGAAAGTAATTTTAAAGAATAAGCAATGTGTACTACATGAAAATTTATTGTATTTAAATTCTTTTCTGTATTTAATTGTACAGAGACAGAGACAAACGCTTTTCTGATCTTGATCTCTGGAATGTCCGTATTTTGTAAACGTGCTGGATATCATATTCGTATCTTTGAGTTTATCGAAGATTAATTTACCAAGACACGTGCAAACAATTGAGTAATGCAAAGTATCCAGAGATTGTCCACAATGTTTCTAGGTTGATCATTTTATAACACAGATATAAGGAACAGTTAGTATATTGACATAGACGCACTACTAATATTAATATATGTTTATTCTAAAATATTTTTTATTTGTATCTATTTTCAAGGATCGTCATACTCCATAAATTTATCAACGAAATAGAGACACGCAAAATTTAATTCGAGTGGTAGCTAAGAAGTTAAGTCAGCGTATAGAAATTTATAACTTCTTGCTCCTGAAGAAGTAAATTATTCTTTACTTATCTCATACTTCTGAAGTTTCTCCTTCTATTTCCTATGAAATATATCTTCCCACTGTTTATCTTTCGCTCGCCATTCGAAACGTTGATCCACACAGACAGGAATTTCACCTAACTCTGGCAGCAGCCAGTCGAGTCGTTGGAATCGGCGTTAATCGGTAGGGATCGTTGGTAATTATTGCCGGAAACAGAGACGACGAAGATCGACGGGAAGACCGAGATTGCTTTCCTTGGAGCAGTATCTCGCGATCGTGTCGAGGTAACAGTTGCCGGAAGCAGGTGGCAAAGGATCGTACCCGGTGCCACGTCGCTTCCTCGTTGTTCACCTCGTCGTCTTCGTCTTCGTCTTCGTCTTCGTCTTCGTCTTCGTCTTCTCTATCATTTGTTAAACATACGCTAAGACGCCCCGTCGAGGATTCCGTCGTCGGACTCACGCCAAGGTTTGTACGCTCGTTTCCGTTCGATCTTTGCTTATTCGTCTCCTACGCGTTGCAACTGGAAACCGCGCTTTGACTTTCTTGTGGCTAGCTGGCAGCCTCGCGTAGCCCTGGATTTAATTTATTTACTTCTCTAGAACGTTCGAATCGCGCCCAGAGTCGGTGGAAAGTGTTACTTCGAACGGTAAACAATAAATTGTCGACTTTATTTGAAATGGATAGGAAAGTAAAATTGTTTATCCGTTGCGGAAGAATTGAAAATACTATGTACGAGTAGCGTACTATTTGTGGAGAAACGAGAGGAAAATAGTGGAGTTTTATTTTGAAGAAGTTCGTTTTAATTTCCAACAGATGCTCCAATGCTGTTTGGCTTTACCATTTCTGGTGATCCTACTCGCATTAGACTGGAGAAAGTTAGAGCGTCTCGTAAACAAGGTTTTAACAAAGAATTTAAGTTCATTTCGTGGGGTATAGTTAAACGTTTACTTTGTCCATTTAGAGTTTTGTCTAAATAGGTTAAGTAAGATAATATTCTTCGTATTCTGAAATGTACAGAGCTCGTCCAACGTGCGTCATATTTCATGCGATAGATATCTCAGAAATGCTCTAGATAGAAGAAGGCAAAAATAAAGTGTTCCAAGTGCGAAAAGATAATTATACTCATTGTCAGATGTCCATCTCAGTGAGAAAATGTGATTAGACTTGACAGTGAACTTCAACGTTAAATCCTTGATCATTTCGAAGCTTCGAATAGCATTAACAGACGCCAGAGGAACAATATTTACTGAATAAATGAGTATTATCGAATACTTGTAACGAGAGTATCTAATTAAATCGCATTCATCGATGTCGATGGAAAATTTATTCAGTTGATATGTCATTTTATAAGCCCACGAATATCAGATTACATTATCAAGGCGTCCAACCGAGTGATTATTTTAAACACAAATAGAAACCGAGAACTCGTTCGCATAAAGAATAAATATCAATGGACCGAGAACCTTGATGAACACCGGAAAAATTACTGAAATGGGTCTCCAGTACCACTTTTTGACAATTAGTACGTGATTAGCGAGATAATTTTGGTGGAATGTCACTTTCGTATTAAAATATAATGATCGACGGTGGTAGAGGCTTTCCTAAAATCGGTAGAAACTGCTAGAAGTCAGTGACCATTGTCGACTTTCGCAAGATTAGTACTGACATCGTTTAGGGACGTGTGTTGGTCGTTGGAGACGCTTTTGGATGCTAAAGCAGACTTCGCAACAAACATGGTAGCATTAGATTAAAAAATGGAGCCAGTTGTGCTAAATCCTAGTGTTTAGTCAATTGTATCGATACAGTAGACTCTCGATCATCGCACTAGAACCTTGATAGTTGCGTTGACAAATGGAGGGTCGCTACACGATAAGGAAAGACTGGGATAGTAGTGGGGATATGCATTGCAGAGCTCCTATTCGGTGTGCGTACCTCGATAATTGCACTTGGGATACTTTTTTCCTGCATCTCGCGAAGGATTAACCCTTTGCATTCGGATGTCTCTTCTGAGGGGACATCGTAAATCCAGGCAAACTTCAAAATTTGTAAAAGTGTATGATTCCTTGAAGGTTTTTATTTAAATATCACGAAAAATCAAATAAAAATATGATACGTGTATTAAGGTACATGTAACAAACATGAGCTTGTGTTACATGGAAAAAGTATGTGTGAATAGAATTTGTATAGAAACGTAATATGTGGGAACATATATTGTACGGCACGTTGCATTTTGTTAAGATAAACAAGGAAGCCGAATATTGCAACTTAAAAGATCTATCAATGGATACCTATGACTGTTTCGCACATTATCACATATTAGAATAGTATAAAATTTAGATTCTTTGCAAATATATGTTCCTCGATGTCTAAAGATTCATATAAGCTCTAGTATCATTATAGTAAATGACATGCTTATAAGTTACATTACGTAATACGACGTGATTCCTGTTTGCACATTCTGTAACGAAGTAGCTCCGAGTGCATAGGGTTAACCCTCAAAAAGTCCGTGTAGGAGTATCGGTGTCCTCCAGTTCGATCTATAGTCTCTGGAACCGCTTACCCTGAAACTTGCTCTCGATGAACTCGTCGCGAATCGTCGATGCACCTCTATTAAACTCTCCCTACTCTGGAACAGGCGATTTTTAACGTAGCGCGTCGTTCCTCGGGCACGAGCGTTGGCCGACGTTGGCGAATGCATTGTTTCCTCGCGCGGGAACAGTGGGCACGATATGAGTCACGTACGCGTACTGGTGTACACGCGCTTACTCCGAGCAAAAACAATTTTTTGCACGCGTTCGATGGCAGAGGTGTCGGTCTAGGAGCGCGACGAGGTGCGATCGGAGCGAGAGAGGCGATAGGAAAGGCAAAGGACAGACGAGGTTTGTCGACTCGGTTGGGGGGTAAGAAAAACGCCGGTCGGGTAAATCGTCGACGGGCATCGACGCTCCGATTGGCTGGCCGAGCCTCTTCTCCGAAATTCGCCACGAATTCCGAGAAATCGGCAGTGTGGCGCTACGCTCACCGGCATCCCCGTCTCTGTCTGTTTGCGCGCTCGTTGCCGAGAACCGACCGTCTGTGTCCAGTCGCCACTTCCGTGCGTCGCGGCACCGCAGGCGGAAACAGGACACGAAGAGCACCCGATTCTGAGGGAGAGGAAAGCAAGGTACGCCAGTGCCGGGGTAAACGTGATACCGCGTTGGTCACCGACTAGAAAGTAATCGTAGCCCAACTGCATGGACGATTTCCGCGAAGCCATCGCGGTGATTACTTTGCAGTCGTAATCGTGGCAAACGCGATACCCGACGTCTCACCCGACGCTGGGGGTAAAGGGAGACGCCTCAAGTTCGCACCCCCGTCGAGTCGCGATTTTCTTACCCCCTTCTAAAGACTCTTAAACTCTGTATCTTCCAAATTGTAGAAACTGTAAAGATTGTTTTGCCTCTAGAGGGTACACGAGGCACCGCATGGGCAACGTTCCAAAGTCGTTTGTTTACCATGGTCGCCGATTTCTTAACTTGAATTTCGTTAAATCGGGAAATCGTCGCGTGGACGACCCTATCGTTCGTTTGCGTAATCGATTAACGAACCTCTGGTTCACGCGTGTTTCGCAGAGGATCGAGACCGATCGGGGTAGCGTGGCTGCCGAGGAATCTGGACGAGATGAGACCCAACGAGGTGATACAAAACGAGAGAAGAGCGACGGAGACGATGTCCGAGACGTCCGAGGGCACCGCGGCGACCAGCATCTCCGGGAAATCGGGGTCCGAGAGCCGCGAGGAGCTGCGGGACATCGCGGCTGTGCTGGGAATCGTTAATCCGGACGATCTGCACCAGGAGAGATTTCGCGTTGATCGGCACAAATTGGAACAGATGATGTTAGGTGAGCCTATCACGCGCGATAAACAGATACGCGTTCCCATCAGGGCCGAATCAAGCCACGGGGCTTTAGGGGCCTCCGCCGAACGGACGGCCTTCGGGAGATCAATTTCAAGCAATTAGTTTTGAATTCGACCCGCGAATACAAACACGAAACACTGGCTTCTGGTATTTACATCCGTGTCGTAAACAAGGGAATTCGTTGGAACGTTGAGGCAGCACCAGGAATTTACTTGTGTTCAACGATGAAGTAGACCGCGGGGTTTATGCACTTACGTTTGTATGCTGATTAGGAGAAAGTATCCAAAATTTGTGCAGATACGTTTATCGGGAATCAATATGGCAATATTAGTATACTCGTGATACACGATGGCACACTCGATCGTTGCCCAAACGTTGAAACAGCCCCACGGATTTACTTGTATTTAACGATGAATCCAATTGAAGCGTTTATGCACTTACGATTGTATGCTACCGAGGATAAATCACAAATCAATACAGTACACAAATCAATACTGGTACTTATAATATTACATAATATATATAATAATAATAATATATTAAGGAGACCAGAAAGTAATGTCGTTTCGGCGAATGTTTACTTGTTTATCATTAATCAGCTCATTGTATACCAATTGATTTTTATCTATCAGGTATTGAAAATTTGCACACCAGATTGCAAAAAGTTGTTCATAACGAGAGTGATTACATAATTGGTTAAAAATAAAAACTTGTTATAAATTTATTTCTTTGAGTTTAATGCAAAAGAAACGGCATTACTTTCTGGTCCCCCTAATACTAATATTCATAATATAATACAAGTTAATATCAGTACTATACATGCCTTCGGCATGAGTTTAGCGTATGACTACTTTGTGATCTACCGTATTTTAATTTCTACACACATTCTCCCAGATAGATCATCACAGTAACGTTAATTTCATCGACAACTTTAATTTCTCATACTATCTGTAACAAATGTATACTTTTTTTTGAACCTTCTTCTTGTACAAATGAGTTAAATTTTTCTTTCCCCCAAAAATATTATCGGGGGCTCATCGGTGCCTAATTCGATCCTGGATCGTAGCCCGTCGAGATTTCTCCTCGAAATTCGACCTCTCGCGCGCGTATCTATGTTTCGAGCATGGATCGCTTCGGGCGCCACGTGGAACGTCGCGCTACGATTTAAATAGATTATCTGTTTGTAAACGGGATTACAAGGACTTGTCAGATGCTATGCTGGCCGCGATCGTAACGTTTATTTTGATCGAGATTCGCGCGTCGTATTCACGCTCGAATTTCGATTTTGCGCCGAAAAACAGCTCGAGGAACTCTTGCAATCAAAAACAGGGATGGACAAAATTTTATTCGCGTGATGCATGGCGAATGAAAGCATGTAATGACACCAAGACGTTCTATCGATTTATAGGCAAGATAAATGTATAGCTAATAAAAGAATAGGCGAACATTGCCCACCCCAGATATTTTCGCTTATAAGTTTATCAGATGTGAAATTCGAATCTTCGATTCGTGCTTAATGAATAAATAAAAGTGCACGTCAAGAGTAGCATGTTTGACTTTGTCGTGCATCGACATACATTGACTGCCTATATTCTAATTTTTATTTTTTGAGAACCAGTTTAATGTACCCGAGGTTACTTCTTTTTGATTTATGTATTGTAGGTAGTATCGTATTAAACGCTCCGTCGTCCACGCGTACGATCCTCCAACAAAGGAATGTATTGAAAAAGAAATGAAAAAAAAAGGACGAGAGTTCGTTGTACCCTAACCGTAAACTTTTCTTTGTTTACAGGTGATAATGCCGTACCGAAGACAGCGGACACGTTTTTTCATAACGTAAGTTGCGTTTCATCGTCCTTTGTAACTCTTCTAACGCGATCACAATGAGCGTGAGTCCTCCGCTCGAATCTCCGCCAATTTCGACGAGTTTCTCTCGATCCGATACTAACCCTTTGAACCTTTGACTGCGAGACGATTTTTGCTGGAAATTCCAAGGGGCACATCTTATAGAGAATAATAAAACGAAACTCTTTTATATTTACTGTTTATTCATCTGACGTTTAGTTTTGAAAATAAAAATTAAAAACTTAAAAGTCCTTTTTCGCGAAATTCATTTTAAAATATAAATCGTTGTAATTTGAATGTTATCGAAATTCTTTCGTTGTAAGAATCAAAAACCCGAAAATCCATTGTTTATTAATATTTAATTGCAAATGAGTGATTCATTCAGTTAACGATGCTTTTCATTTTTAATTTTCATTTTTGAAACTGTACGTCGAATGAATAAATTGTGCATACCAAGAAAATTGATTTGGCGAATTTAAACAATCTTCAGAGTCCAACTTTCGAGGTCGGATCTATACACCTTTCGCAGTCAAAGGGTCGAATGTACTTTATCGCCAAAAACGAGATAATTGATAATCGAAATATCTTCTCGCAGCTGTGTCGCGAATTTGATAAGAATACAAGCTGGTGGTCCATCGATTTCGATCCGTTCGATATTCCTTCGACCAAAAATCGATCGAATCGACCATACGCCAGCGTTGTTGACTCGTATCACTGCTCGATATTTTCTTGGTCGACGAAAACACGCGCCAGCATCGATAACTCGTGTCATAGCGCCGCTCGCGTCCCTCCTTCTTATGATTAATTTATTAATGGTTGGATAATGCGATTGCGCAATTCCCTGCTGGGCAAAATTAAGTAACGCGATATAAACATTGCTCTAATTACAATTTTCATCGAATTCGAGTAACGAATAATAAAATTTGAAGAAGCCATCGGTTAAACTCTCGATCAGGCTGAAGGAAACCTGTTGAATCGCGACCTCTAGTTCCTTTATTCTAAAGATTCACTTTCAGTAGATAAAAACTGATTTTTATCTCGTATGAGTTTCATTATGTTGCTCGAATGCAATCGATCCGACGACACGGTAAGCCTCTCGACCTCGCGATTATGCGATGCCGAGCGAAGGCTGTTTTCGCGCGACTTCCCAGCCCGTGGGATCACTCGATAATTCATCTGGCCCGCTACCGACGCGTTTATTTATTCGCTCAATTAATTCGTTTCATTTACAAACACGATGAGCCCTGTTGTGCAACTTTGGTATACAGACAACTCGGGACAATTCGCGTATACAACCACAATTCAATCAGTGCTCCGTTAAAAAAAAAGTACGAGAAGAAGTCCACGGTCCCGATCAAGGCTGACGGATTGCAGATTCCGTAAATCCTCTATTGCACAATGTCCGCGATAGGGAACTCGTTAAAAATAATTTTACAAACATTTTTCTTTCCGAATGTTCTGGGCGTATCGACGATGACATTTTATTTGATTATTGGACGAAATTTTATTAACCACCGATACGATACCATCGATAAGAGCAACGTTTACTCGATAAACATGGATCATGCAAAGTCACGTTTCCTTATTGAAACATCTAACAACCTCGCAGGCTGAGGTTATTTGTTATTCGTTTTACGCGTTAATTGACTCGTGATGTATAGGTAACCAAGAAATAATTTTTTTTTCGAGACACGATAGAAAATCTATGCAATAGAGGAGCGGAATCGATGAAGTCGTGTGGTCCCTTAATTATTTCGTTTTCGAGCCAATTTGTTGTCTGTGGGGATTGATCTACGTGTAGGAACAACCAAGTACGCGTCGTAGAGCACGTAGTCGAATGCAACGGGCCGAGCGCGTTCGCCAACGAGTTCGAAGGCAACGTTCGCGCTTATCCTTATCGTTGACACGTTGCGTAAAAGGGGGCCTGGAAATACACCGCTCGATTATTTATAGACCGGGTTTACTCGCAACTTCGCGCTACATGCTCGATTCTGTTCCCCTCGCTCCTCCTGCTAGCGTTAAAAAACATTTGCGCTCCATACGCGAGGCGTTGCCGATCGGTTAATTAACTAGAACAAGTATTCGTTAATACAAGCATCGGTGAAATTGCTATTACTTACCCGAGACTTCGTTACGTTTCCTTCTATCAGAAATACTTCGAGTGTCGAATTGCCTTCAACTTGAACCATTTTTTTGACTTTATTTCGTACCATTTAACTAAATAATCGTCGAATTGTCAAGGATTATTGCTAACTACCTGAAATTTCGATACGTCTCGATACCTCCTATCGAAAGTACCCCGGTTGCCAAGTTGCTATCGATTTGTACCGATGCCTCGATCTTGTTTCATGCAGTTCAAGTAACCGTTCTAGGTAAACCCGTTAACATGACTCATTTATCGTTAAGAATTAATTCATTACTGCAATTATATTAACTCCGATATTTCTTGCCCGCCAACGATTCGCGTCGCTATCGTGTTTTCTATATTTGCGATTAAAACAAGCCGCGGCTATCGTAAACGGAAACGCAAGGAAAGTCAAAATTACGAGCTCATTTACAGCTCTGTTTAAGCGTGAATATATCACAGGTGTAACTTGAATTGCCATGCAGTACACATACAGGACGTGCGCGAATCGAATGCGCTGTGGGTCGATCGTGAAAACGTAATCGTATCAGTCCCATCGCTGGCGATAACAACGTTTCCCCGAGCACTTTAAAAACAACTGCTAACTCATTCTCGCGTTTACGAAGGCGACGCGTGTTCGTGTTTGCTCGTATGACGCGGCAGTATTGTGTTTCCATCTTTAACGTCGCATTACGAGAAAGTACCTTGGTACAGGACTCTGCGGTGATCGAACTTTCACGTTCACCTGCGCGTTGTGTTCCCTTTTGATGTCGAATGTCGACCTCACGATTCTTTGGATGTTGATGCATTTGGAAAATCCGCGACGATTTTTAAGGGGACATTTTGTGGAGAAATTTTAAATTGACGAAAATGCGTTATATTTACCTGTATTCTCGTTCGCTAGGCGTAGTTTTGCCGATAATGAGGATGAAGTGAAAATTATGGTAACGATTTCATATACAATGATTTGATTGTATAAACATTATACAAAATCAGGTAGAGATTATTATTCGAAGTGGAGATACTCAAAATTAATATTATATATTTAGTCAGACAACGAGTTGCCAATTAACACTGAAACAATAATATATTCCACCATTTTAAGTAGGTATAGGCGGTAGTTTTAGTGTAAAAAGTGACGTGAAATACAGCGTATTTCGAGACCTTCACGGCGATACATCGTTCGCATAAATAAGATAAACGTAATCGGTTGGAAGCGTCGTGGAAGACTAATGCTACAAAGAAAGAACAAACCCGTGGACCATCTTAATAATTCCTCGCCATTGTTTACGCGGTCCATGACAAGTTTACAGAGTCGCCAAGGGAGGAATCCGCTTAGCTTCGCTTTCGAAAACGATCCGAGGTTCCCCCGCGATATATTTTCGACACGGCCGCGAGGGCTAGTGTTCGCGGTCTTCCCGAAATACCGTTTTACACGCGACACGTAATTTTAGCGAAAGTCACTGGACCTCGAGCTCGATTTATCCCCACTGCCAACGCTGCCAACTTTTCCGGATCCTCGGCGAGCCGAGCGTTTCGCTCTCGCGAGGAAAACTGGAATTCAAGCTCGATCGGGACGTTTCGCAGAACCGATGGTTTCCACAGAGACGGTTAACGGTACGCAAATCGTCGAAGGCTAATCCAAAGAGAATCCTCGCTGAAGGATCCTTACTCCTCGTACCCGAGTCGAATGGTTGCCAATGATGGCGTCGACCTCGGCCGAGGGGCCGATACGATGCGAATTGTTGATACTCGGGCAACTCGGAGCCTCTGGTAGTTGCTATCGAGCTTGTACATCGACGCTTTTGGAACGAATACCGAACGAGCGTCTATGTTACTGTAAACGTGTCAGAAGTGGGAAACGCGATTTTAATCAATATAGATGATAGAAACTTTGAGTAATTGCAAGGTGTACTAGGTAATAACTAAACTATGGATGTTCATGGGATATTTAAACGACTCACGAAGAATTTATTAATATTTTGCGAATCGTGGATCGACGAATAGATTGCAACGTATCTCAGATTTAGGGAAATCCGAAGTCGGTAAAAAGATTGTACAGTTTCACGTGGAATGACCTGATTCGATTACATTTCGTTTCCTACCTTCGATACATTTACGATAGTATCGATGCTCGGTTTATACGGTATCGGTAGCTGTATTCGTTGTAAATGTATCACTATCGAAGATCGATATTAAGTACACGCTCTATGTAATCGATACGCATTAATACTTTCGCGCAGCTATCAACGCGGCTTTATATAAAGTGATACTTTAACATCTGTTATCGATATCATCGATGCGATTCCGTTACCAACCATCCTCCTCAAAACGCGAAACACGTGATGATTTCACGTTGTCGCCGGGCAAAAACGTTGGCCACGTTTCTCAACGTTTACGCTCTTTCAGAGCACGCGATACACAGACCTAATTGTCCATTTTCATCGTGCTCATACTTTACAATTTTCTGCGTTTCTCCCGTTAGAGCCTCGAGGTCTTCAGAATTTCTATGACCACGAGCTTTTGGGAAGTCGAATGAATTCGCGGAAACACGCCTTAATGGCAACAAGAAATCGGACGTCTGGATTTTCCTCGGGCAAATCGGCTCGGCGTCGTGACATTTATGGTATTACCTGCTCGCAAATTTCCCTTCCGTGCGCTATTCCAGGTAGCGTTCCGTACGAACACGGTCTACAGCTAAAATTTGCACTCCTGCCCCCGGTTTTCCTTGTTCGAGATGAATACAGATAGTCCAGCCGGCGAAGGAAATATACCAGAACTAATTCCGATAGTTTTGAAACGTGTTCTGCATAAATGTCCACCGTGTATCTTGTTTATGAATACATAAATGCTCTCTAACTTTATCTTCTAGAGACGCTAGCGTAAACGAATGGAGAACGGTCACGATTTTCTGTTTTTACATCGGTAATTATCGATACTATCGAAATTACTTATATAGTTTCACTGTAATTCGAATTGCAAAATATAATCACGCCATACTTGACTCCCGGCCATTTTAGCAGTTCTGTTTCGCGTTCTAAATTACCCTGGTGACTTCAAACTTGTTTGATATATAGAGGATGTTTATGCAAATTCACATTTTCACAGGTACAAAGAAAGAATTGCAATTTATATGAAAGCAATACGTATATTATAGTTGATATTTTATATATTTTTCGATTGCTTTGGATTTTCGTACATTTTCCTATATTTTCACTTGCCATCGATGCATAAACATGTAACGGTATAGACGAGAATAACATGTACACCACAGAATATGCATTACAAAATTCATACCTGACTGTTTGCAATCAGCAGGTAGTACGGATACTTTCGTGACTCACCGCGTATACCTACCTCCGAATCAATGGGAATTAGGTCTGTTATTCCAGAAAATTGGTTGCAACCGGGCTGAGCTAAGATACCTTTTGTGAATTTCGGAGACCCCTCGGTTCGTCAGTCCGCTTTGGCCGCGTCAAACGTTCGCTTGCTCGTCGCTTGGGACCAGGGGTTGCTCGATCAATGTTTTCAAATAAAACCGAATTTTTTCAACCTGGAGGACTTTTCAATACCAACGTAAAAATATAAAATTAACAGTTTCTAGAGTTCTATAGTCATTTCTCTTTATTCTAATCAATTTATCGCGTGTAACCAGTGGCACTCTGTTATTATTACTGTTTACAGCGCTATCACGATAACCTCATCAATTCTCGAGATTTTTATTTTATTACATCGTCAAGTCCTGCAGGATTTGACAAAATTCGCCTTTGGGGGGCCTAAGTGAACTACCCCTGCTTGGGACGTCCCTTTCGGTCGGAGGAATCGGTACGAGTAAATCTGGACAATCGCGGGCCGCACCTGTCCGAGAGGGAGTGCAAGTTCCGCAGCTGGGACGCGCGAAAGAACTACCTGTTCGTCCACCACGGTCTTTAAATCGTCCAGCAGCGTCGGGTTTGCTCAAGGTGAGGCGGAAACGAGAGAGAGATTGTCTCCATCGGGCGGAGTCTAGGTCAGCGTTTCCCAAACTGTCTTCCGCACGATGTACACGAGCTTTACACGAAACAATTGCAATCAATAGTTTGGAACAAGTGAGATAAAAGAAAAATAAATTTCGCATATCTGAGGGGTAGGATATCACCTGTGGCGGGGCTTTGAAAGACCCTATACATCGCACGTACATTTAGGAAAAGTACAGGTAGCACTGTACTGATGGCATCAACGATTTGGTAGATCTCTTTTGTAAATAGTTTCCAACAACGTACGATCTCTGTCTCTCTTCTCGATACTCATACATAAATTCTTTTGTCGACACCAGAACTGCCAAGCCGTTCAATTTGGACGTCTTTTTGAAATTACTAGATTGTTAACAACATTTTTGCTGACTTTTTGAATAGGGAACTATTATAGTTGTATGCTAATCGGGTGTTTGTTCATCTACTCTTTATTTTCATAGATAGTCGTGCGAATAAGAGGGATGGGACGATCGTAGGTTGTTCAGTGTTAACGATTATGTAAGATCTTGACTTTTACTTTGATGCCTGTCATTAGAGATCGAGTAATGTATTCCTGAAGAGGATTTTTGCTTCCTTAATTGAATTTCTGATGGAAACTTTGTAATAGGAAACTATTACAATTACACGCTGATCAATTGCTACATCTACTCCTTATTCTCAAAGCGCATCCGTTGTTTCAATGTTGACAACTGTATAAGATCTTGACCTTTGCTTTGGTGTCTATCATTATAGACTAGATAATTCACCCTTGACGTTGATTTTCACTACCCTAATTGTGTTTTATCATTCAACCAATGGAGAAATGATCAATCCACGTGTTTAATTTTGAAAAGCGAATAACCAAGACGGAATGCACACTTTCCGCAAATACATTGCGAGATTAAAATTGTTCCGTGACTAAAGAAAATTGGGAAACGCTGGTCTAGGTTATTCGTCGGCATTCGCGTGGCCGGTGGTTCCTGGGGAGGGTTGGTGGAAGCAGGAGACGGTGGGAAGGAGACGAACGAAGTCGTAACAGCCAGCGAGTGGGAGGCGGTTCACCGAGCCGTCCCGTTACATTATCTGCTGTTAGTCAGTCAGTCGTGCCAGCGATCCCGACGCGGTGAAAACGAGAGACACGGCGCACCCGTTCGAAGATCGTTTCTTTCGAGAGATTCGCCGGGTCACGGTGGAGAACGTCGAAAATCTTCTACTTCCTCGCGTCGTCGCGAGCAGTCGCTGTAATCCATAGTTACTCGATCTATAATAAGAAAAAAGTGTGAATCGCGAAGCAAAGGTGCGAAAAGTGTGCGCGAAAGTTTGCTCCGATCTAGAAGACGGACCAGAACTGAACGCAACTCGACTCCACTTCCGAGTCGAGCAGTGTTTCGAGCGAAAGGATCTTGGATACGTTTCGTGGCAAAATCTGCAAGGAAACCCGTCGATCATCGATCGTTGATCGTTCAGTCGTGATGAAGTGAGCGGACAACCGCGCCGGGATGTTCCGCGGGTCTCGATAGAGTCGAGTGAAAGTAAATCACCGGGAGCTGTCTCCTCTCGTTCGAGTCCTTTCCACCCTGGTCCGAAAAGATCGCAGTCACCATGTCCGGCCGTTTCTCTGCCAACCAGGATACTTAAACCGTGACCGCGAAGAAAGCGCAAAATCCGTCGCGCGATTCCTGTACGCTGCCGTCTCGATCGTTCGTTTTGCCTCCTTTGCGACCTCATCGACGAATCGGCCGATTTTCCAGCGAATCGAGGCTCGAACGAGACGCACCAGTTGACAACGATGACCGTGGTAACATCGTGCGATTCGGCATGTTCGCGATGACGCGTAGACGATCGCGTCAACTCTACGAAAATCGCTGAAAATCGGTTGGAAGGGATCGTTGCTTTCTGGGTTGAACCGGAGTCGATGTACTGCAAGTACTCTGAACGATATTTCACATTATTTTCGCAAAAATATGGTAGTTCGTACAGAAAGTGTGAACCGTTCTCCTAACAGAAGGTCACTCTTCTTCTGGTTGTAATTGGCAAGGTTCAGCAAAACAAACATTTTCAGAACTTGAAACATGGAAATCGATCGAAATTTGTGGGTTCCCGTGATTCATGACTCGATTACGAGTGTTTTAAACGCGAGTACAAATTAAAAGCAGAGTAGTTCTGGAGATATATCGCGCGATCGTCTTTCGCGTTTTTCGGAACGTTGTAACGCGTCCACGAGGAATGTGTTCGGTCCGGTTTGAGTCGATTGTTTGTTTGTTGCAGGTTATGGAGGAAACGAACACCTTCGTTACGTGGCCGTCCCGACTGAAGATCGGAGCAAAGTCGAAGAAAGGTAAGCATGGCTGGTTGCGATCGCGAGTTACGCTTCTTATAGCACGTTCGCCATTCAGATTGGCGCGCGCGCGTTTCGCGAGTCGAAAGGTGAACCGGGTTCGCTGAAATGGGCAAATTTCTTATCTGAATACAAAATTTCGAACGAAAGGCGAACAGCTTTTGATTCCACGTTTGTTCGATATAAAATTACCACCTGGATCGTAAAATGAAATATCACGTTGCACAAATGGAAGTCATTTCTATCCAGTGTCTTTGTTCTCTGTTTAAAATTGAAATACAATATTTGCCCATTTTTGTTGGTTCTACTGGCAATTCCAACGACGTGGTAGGTAGGATATTTTCGGAAAGATGTCCACCCGGAAACGCTGCAGGAACTGAGCGATGATGCGTCATAGAATGGAGGTTCGACGACTTGGTCGACCTTGCCGGGAACAGGCCCATTTCGACATTCTGTTCGAGTACAGGGAGTCCTTGAGGTACGCGAATTCGTGCATGCCATCACTTGTCTCCTTGGGCATATTCTGTATTCGCGTGTATGGAGGACATTGACAAAATGATATGGACACCTCTGAAATACAATTATGTACGTTATCAACCTTAGGGAATGATTGACGCATATACGCGCTCAGTCGATCGGGTCACTGTGTGTGGTAAACGACATTAACCTTCAGCATATACATATATGTATAACTAACATATGGAAAAGAGAATTCCATGCACTTGCTCCAAAATGCCCTTCTGCAAAGGGTTGATAAGGGGTCGGGTCGTCATTTATTTTCAATGCAGTTCATACAAAGATTCGTCCTTAGATTCGTACAATTTGATTAGATTTCAATGGAATTAGTAAATACTGGGTAAACATCTACTCTGGCCACGTTTCTCTTACAAATGACATCATGTTATTCTCAACTCGGTTCCAATCTTTCTTCTCGCACTACGCATCGTATTTATGCGATTATCGAGTTACGCGGAAAACTTGGGAACGAATTAATCGCGCCAGTCGAGGACTCATTGTACATCGCGTCGAGTGTTTATCGTTTATCGACCGAATCTCGTTACATACGCACGGTAGGCGATTACGTCAATCCTAGGTTGTGTTGCCTTGGCTCGACCGCTGACGTTGGTATCGTGTATTTTCTTACGACTGCTATTTACGGCTCGTGCACGCGAATTCACGCGCCCAATTCCGTTGTTTTCGAACGAATCGTCTCCATTTTGACCAAGACTAGGGTTACCATCCTAAATATCTAGAATTTGTGTGCCAAATGAAAAGTAATTTACATCAGTTTAAGATTTGTTATCGTTTCTAATGCGAAAAGGTCGTCCATTCGCGGGACAATCCGGGGTGTCATGACGCAATAAGATGATCGCGCTACTCCAAAATCAGCTTTCTGGACCACTGTGCGACGTCCCGAGGCAACGTTCGCGAACGCAGGATTAATTAGAGCGCACCCATTAATCGAAAGTGATTACGAAACGACTCGCATGCTTGCTCTGGCGCAGCAGCGCGTGTCATGTCGGCCAAGTAAAACGCGACCGGCTTTGCGCCGTAGAAAACTGCGACTCCAAGTAGCGGAAACCTCGAGACCACGGAATCGAAAACACTGCTTCGTCGTCTGTTGCTCGCCCTCCCGTGGAAACTTTTCGGTGATTCATCCCTACCTCGTGACCTGAACAGCTGTTGCGTTCCTCCTCCTTCTGCTTCATCGTGCCCTCCCATCGAATAGCCCGATTGTGCGTGACAACGTGCGTAATCCGGTATAAATAGGACCCCAGAGTGTGTCCACACTTCCCACTGTTTTTCAAAGTTCCCCGCGTCGGAACCTTGCCTTTCCTGAACGAAACTCGCTCCGTTCGATTGGAAAAATACGCGTGCGTTTCGCGACATTCGTTTCTGTCGCGCCTGGTTCTGTACGCTTTTCGAGTAATCACTTCCTGAAATTTAAGTGCATCGTAGCATTCGGTAGCTAAACTTGCCTCGAAGGATCCGTCAGAATTTCGAGAATCGTCCATTTTATGACTACTCGAAGAAGCACCTCCGCTATGGCACTTCTCTGTAGATTACAAAGCAGTTACTCCGTTTTGGAGTTTTTCCACTAGGTTTGAGCGTTCCAACTTGGATCTTATCGGCGCGAGACGATCATGTTTTTAAATATTTTGTCCGAAGTAAGACAATTTTGTATTTCGCTCCATTTTTAGCCCATTCTCATTATTAGCGCATATTTGCGTCCAATTTGGCAATCAAATTCAAATAAAACATCGGCGATAAGTGATTCAAATGGGTAAATGATTCTTCCCTCGTTTCTTACGATTTACATGTACAATAAGTTCGAAATTTCGATTTAAATTTCGTCAAAGTATGAAACGTCACACTCCAAGAAGCGTCCGAATCAGGCTGAAATCGATCCTCGTGAATTTCGAGAGCTCTCTAGGCGGATTCGCGAGTTCGCGACCGTTGTTATTGTTCGAATCGAGAACCGTTATCTCGCCCCAGGAATTATTAGTAAACGAAACGAGTCGATAAGTTTGGTTGGGCATGTCCCAGTTCGATCGAACGGTAGAACCCAGGCGCGTGACATTCGGCGATAGAATTATTCTACTTTCGTCTCCTTAAAAGGTCGACCGCGAGCTGAACCGTATCCGTATCTTCTCTCGGCGATCGTGAATTTATGCAACGGTGTTTTTTTTTTTTTCCACGATGAACTCTTCCGTGCCCGCGACTCAGAGTCGACTCGCTTTGTTGAAAGCGTCGAGACGTTTCCGCGTTGACGAGAGAATGGCGATGATGTCGTGCAAAAGTAGCATGACTGATTAATTATTCAATTAATCGATGGTTCGGTGGCGCGGTTGCGTGACCCTCTTCGGAAATACATATGCGAACTCGAATATAATACAAAATATAGCAATGCAAATGGATAGTTCGCGAACAAATTTGTAACGGATTAGTTATACTCTTATACTAAAAATTAAGGTATTGGTAATAACCGAGTAATCTGAAAAATTGCAAGAAATTAAAAATACAATCGAGTTGATAGCGTTAGTATCGATACATTTTCAAGACCCGACTCAAACCATCGATTAATTAAGCAATGAATCGAAGCGCATTATTTTCGATTGACATCGTGCAGAAAAGGTATAGTCCACTTTTGTAATATATGCTGAAGTCATGCATTTATGAATCACCTTGTAGTAGCAGTTGCGTTCGGTATCGTCGCGCGAATAAATTGACGTATCGAGCCGTAACGTAGGCCCTTTTTTTCGATTGTTCAGCGTGATGAGGTGAATCGAATCGCATCGAATCCGATTTCGAACGATGGCGCTTTGGCCGGTGGCCGAAGGAAGGCTTGGCGAAATTGTAGCGTTACGAAAGTCGGTTCGCGATACGCGTGACAGGCTTTATCGGCGCTTGCATAGGGAACGAGATACGTTGGGCGTCGAAATAATTCGAGCAACGGGAAATACATAGTATATCATTCGGAACAACGTTTCGTTTCGTTTCCCTTTCGTTTCGAAAACGGGGACCGTTAACTGTCCAAACGAATGCGAACTCGGTTTTCGCGGGGGAAGAACGGTCTGGAAAAGGAATTCGGGAAACGAAGCCCACAGAATTCGCACTTCAGCTGTACAACGATGATCGATAACGCGGAGATAAGATAACAGCCTTATCTAGATATAGATCTCGAACGATGAATGAAGGATAAACAACGTTTATCGGAATAGCTACAGAGATAGATTAAATAAACTATCAATAAATCTACAGGCAATAAATTTCGTTTCGTTCGAAATTCACAGTTACCTCCTGCGAATTTATTTTTGTAAAACGATGTACGTTCGATTCACTTCTAGATGATCGAACACGTCGATTAATACAATCGTATTTTTAATGATAAGTAGATACCTAAAATCGTTAGGGGCTGACCTAGTTAGTCGATCATCGATCGCGATCGACGTGCTTATCTCGCGCAAGCAATTACATGTCGCAAACAGAGATTCACGAAGGTCGAAAATCTATTTCTGGGTCACCGTTTCGATTCAGAAGGACTTTTCTCCTTTTACCAACCGGCGCTCTTCTTCTTCTTCGCAGTCGGAGGTATTTTTAGGCGGATCTGCGAGTATCGATCTTTGCGAAAACTCCTTGCACTGTGAAGGCAGAGATGGGTAAAAATCTTTTCTATATAAAAAACGTGAATAAAGGCTGCCTTATTTTACATCTGCCATTTATTAATTAAAGAATCAGAATTCAGATTACAGAATGAAAGTACATTTCACGTTGATCGAAACAAAAATGATTTCTATAAGGGGTTACTCGATTACGAGCCGCTGATAAATCAGGATGTGTTCTTATTCGTCATCTGTAATTCCAATAAAATTTGTATTTATCTCCGGTTGCGTCTGGTCTTTCGTTCCTCGATGGTTTTAACGTGATAAGACTTCTGTCCATCTCTGTTTCGCAGAAACGACAGGCGTGGCTCGTTCGCGGAAGTGGGCACCGATCCGACAAAATTGTTTACGCGGTTAAGAATGGTATTGGTTTTGACGAGCAACGACGAGTTTCCGTGGCTTTCCCTCAGCGAGGTCGATTACGACATCCTTTCCACGTCGTATGACTTCCTGCTTTTTTCAACGCAAACAGTATCGCCTGCCCAGTTTTCCGCTCGCCTTCCTCGAGCTTTCGTTTCCCTTTTTACAGAACAATACCATTCGCCGTGATTCGGAACTACAATTTATTCGTAGCACGTCTAATAAACCGATCCATCGATTTCATTTCTAACTACATCTTGGAAAATACTCGATACTCTATTTTTTCAGTTCATGTGTATTAAGATAATTATAGTCTGCCTTGAACTGTCGCAGCGATGAATATTTACGAGTTAATTTGTTTAATTGCGGAGCTCGTTTTTGTTTTTTTTTTATACAGCCACCCGAGTTACTGGAAAACGAAAGTTTCATACGTTTCCGTTCGTTTGCGATGTAGTTTTTTACGATACAAATGTGAAATTTTTAATTGAAATCTGACTTGAATGATGTTAATCGATTCGATCTTTTTAAAGCGAATTTGAATATCCTATTTAAAGAACGAAATAAACATTACTCGAAACATTTTTAATACACGAACCTTGAGAATTCACCAAATAGTAATTGGTTCGTTGCGCGACGAGCGTAATTAAGGTTCGGCGAGATTAAAAAAAAATAGAGCTTCTCATTCGAGAATGGAGAATATTAGGATTCGTGCTTCTACTTGAAAACTTACCAATCGTCCCTTGTTAGAATTTAGAATCTTTCTTACTCAACTCTTGAATAATGCTGCATTTAAAAATGAAAATAAAAATTTGAATGAAACTACGTAAAATGTTATAACATATTCAAAAGTTTATCTCATGATTGCTAGTGTCCTATCGAATACTTTGCAAGGTATTTTTTTACTACGATTCGTCGAAATCGAAGCGCCTATCGCGTTTCGTTTGAAAACGGTGGCGATCGTTTCGCACGATCCTGGATCGATTTCTCGATCGCCAATGGTTGGGTTTCCGCGACGACACGTCACCGTCCTCGACTTTGGAGCGTTTCATATCCAGGAAGAAAAGACGGCCGAAGAGCTCTATACGCGGAGAATACTAAAAGCAGTCTCCTAGTCGCCTTTCGTCTCGTCCGTGAGCGTTCGTTGGTTCTCGTGCCCCGTCGATAGTTGCTCGTAATAATAACAACGTATTGCCATGCTGTTGCATAATTTGTTTCGCCGTTCTTTTACAGATCCGCATATAAAGGTCGCGGGTCGACCCGATGACGTGCGAGCCGCTAAGGAGAAGATAATGGAAATTTTGGACACGAGGGTAAGCGAGCAACGTCTTTCCCGTTCTATCTCGTTCGCGATTCACGATGGTTTCGACTCGGAGAATTGGGTAATCAATTTCAATTAGTATCGATTACGCAATCAATTACCGTGATTGTAAGATTACGTTTTGTAATCGTTAATCACGTCGGCGCAATCGCAATTACGAATTGTAGTTGGACGGCTGCAATTACCTTTTACTCGATTGTTTTCGAGAAAAATCTTGAACTCGAGAAGATACAGCGTGCACCGCTGACAGAGATGGACGAAATTCTTATCGGAGCAGAAGTGTCCAATAACGAGTAACAGATAAACAGCTGCTTATCCGTTACTCGTTGAATAAGAGTTAAAGTTTAAAGTATGGTATCGAATATGTCGCGAGGAACTGAACATTTAACTCTTCGAAAATAAAAGTGAAATTAATGAATGGAAAATTTTCGGATGGGTTTGTCTAGTAATTGAAATCGTGCACTGTTAATACTTGGAACAGACTTCGCAAAGGTAATACACACGTTATCTGCTGTTCGAATACAATTTTGACCATCTTTGTTACGCGTTGCTGGTTTTTACCGAAATATTACGTCAGTCGCGAGATTAGAAACGACCTCGCCGATCGGCTTCTGACTTTCAGCATGACAGATTGATCGCTCCGTGAAACGTACAAACATTTCTCCGGCTCTTATCGCAAATAATCCGTCCAAACGATAATAGGAACTCGCGGATTGCGCGCAACAAGACTTTAATAACAATGTGTAGGTGTAATTGATATCGCGATATTGATTTTTCAATACGACGCATTAATTTTATTAGTGCCAATCGCACGAGGTAAATTTCCAACGTTGGGAAGCATTTTATCTGGACAATCGAAATCACAGTCGAAACGAAAACGGATACTGTCACACAACGACGCTTATTTCCTCTGACAACCTGGAACGTTACATTCGCATATATCGCGAAGGACAGAATTATCTGAATGTCACGAATCATCTGATGTCGCTGTTTTCTCGAGGAAAACAACTTTACGACTCGCGAGCATAATTTTAACGTCTCGTTCCTTCTGTCAACGTAGAGTGTGGTTTACGTGTTATTTGTGCTTTACGGGTTGTTGAAAACAGTTAGCAAGACCAACTGCTGAAGAGAAACAGCTAAGTGAGGTCGAGATAAGATTCGCATGTGCATATCGCTCTTATCGTCCAACCAGCGATGGATATTTTCAAAACATCCCTGGTACGCGATCGGCCCCGAGATAGATGGAGAATCCTACGAGATGTATTTCGTTGTCGAAACTAGAGATTAGAGAGTTCAAGGTTTTAAATACACAACGTTTCAAAGGCGGTACAAATATTTCGTTAGCGACGAATCACGATGAATAACGCCATGGAAATTGAACGATTCGAACTATCCGCGAGATCTCGAAGGTGACGACATCCCTTAAACGAGAATCTTTCCTTCCATTAGTCGTTTTACGGTAGACACCAAGCAGCAAACGGTTACGGGTCAACGCACGGTTCTACCAGAAATATCGCTGGTAGCTACTCGAATCCTTTGATCGTGGATCGCGAAACTTTCGCTCGATTCCGCAGGCATGTTCGGCAGGCGTGGGTCGTTGTTTTCTAATAGGATCCAGCGATTTTCTTTTTAATTGCTGGTCGCATAAGCGGCGCACTCCGGGTCTCGAGGATCGGCGAAGGAAAGGGGCCGACAACCACGTAGGAAGAAGCCATTCTATTTATACGCGGACGTTGTCTCGCGAATTCCCAGCCGAGAAAGCGAGACGTCCTGCGTCGCGACGAGCTCGCCAGCGCGTTTACCGATCCGGCCCGAATCGTTGGCTTGTTTCCTTGCTGCGTACCGTTATCTCCAGCGCAGCGTAGCCTTCCATCGCTAAATACAGTGGCGCGTCCAGAAATTCAGCAAGGGAAATCGGTCACTAGAAATCGGTCGAAAAGGAGGCAAACACGATCTTTGATGATAGTTATTTTTTTATCGGAGCCTTCAAATCTCGCGGGAGATCCATTCACTTTGCGAACAAGGAAATCTGTACGGGTTTAACTTAAATTAACAGTGTATAGAGCTAGATTTACTAGATACGTATACGAGACTGAAGATTTTCAAAAATAGATGCAATTTAATTTTAAAGAATTGCTGAACCATTTTTGTCCCTTTGATTATCGAAGAAGGGACACTGCTAAACAATATGATCTATGAACTATAATTACAGTAACAGTTAGAACAAACGTAAGATAAAATCACAAGAAGAAAGATTTAACAATAAATAATTTTCATGACGAAATTCAAATTCAGAATCGAGGCCTGCATCCACCAATAAAATAAAACTCCTAGGCTATAGAGTCAAATGAAAACAAAATCACTGTAGTACTCTACGTACATGAATAAAATATTACTCATCTCTGAATACGTCACTAGTCAGTCGATTCGCAATCATTGGTTACAGCTACCGGTTCACGATGACGTTTAACGAGTGGTTCGATAAGAAACGCAGTTGCATATAACTGTTCCTAGTGAGACTCGTCACAATTTGCAGCAACTATGTTGCTAACTGTCGCTGGAGCTGCTCACCTGATCGCACAAAACCCGTGGCAGGATCGAAAGCTGTACGCGTTCACTTTCCTCCGAGTGGCAGGTCTTATTGGTTCTGGCTCGGAGACGCTGTAAAACAGCGAGCGCGTTGCACTCTCGACACCGTTACCGTGTTACGGGGCCTGGCCAGCTATAGGACGGCTTTTACATAACGATAGCTAGGCGGTTCGACGTTTGAAATCGCGCACATTGCTGTCGTTCGAGTGGTAGGCTTGTATACGCACTCGCAAACGAATTTATACGGGGCCAGGATGTAGGAAATGTGATCTTAATATAGTTGCAGAATAATGATCTCGTTAAAAAGTAAGGTATTCATCTTTTGCTTAATACTCGTTGATTAGACGCGCACGGAATCGGGAAGTAAATTATATCCTCGCCTTTGGATAGATAAAAATCTGTTACTTCGTCGATTAAAATTAACGTATTTGTTAACGTTTTCGAAATGTAGGTACGAGAAGAAACGTAGAAATTAAATATAAGGATACGCATACGAGTAAGTATAATTAACAGAGACGATTGCGTCAGAATTCTTCTAGATATATCATAGAATTACTCTCCAAGTATTACAAACACCCCGACGTTAAAAATAGTGCAACCTAAGCACGCGAGAAAACGAAACACTATCTAGAAAGATGTTGAATATTTTGTAAAGCAACCGATGCTACGCGTAATTGTTCTGACATTTTGTCCGTAGAGTTATACTTATTATTATTATTCTTATCGTGTCCGGGGTATCGCTCGTTAGTCCGTAATATTTGACGTTCCATTTATTTTCGCTCGTCGCTGTTTATCAAAAATTGATTTCCTCTCATCGTTCCCTGCGCTCACGGCGGAACCATCGTCGAATTTTATTTACGCTGTATCGCCGATAACGACGAACGAGAGTATCGAGAAACGTTTGAATTTCGATTGCAGCAGATCAACCGAGTAACTATGAAACTGGACGTTAGTTACACCGACCATTCGCACATTATTGGAAAGGGTGGTCTGACGATTAAACGAGTGATGGAGGAAACCGGCTGTCACATTCATTTCCCGGACAGTAACCGTAGCAATCACCAAGAGAAGAGCAATCAAGTCTCCATTGCTGGCGAAGTGGAGGGTGTCGAACGAGCCCGTGCTCGAGTCAGGGTAAGCCGGATCGTCATCGAACGCGATCCCTGTCGCAGCCTCCTTCAGCCCTTAAAGTAGTTGTCCCGGTCGTAAATAGTGTATCAGTTGAATCGACAAATCAACTTATAACGAGCAAGAGCACACGTGTCGTAAAATTCCAGTGGAGATCTACTGGAGTAGCTTTACTTCCTTAACTAAAGTAAAATCTGACTAAAATTAGTATGTAGAAAAAAAAAATCCTAATAGCGTAGTTTTTGAGAAAAACTGGTCTTCGTGTACGCAAATGAGAACAATCGCTCTAAACGATAGCGCCGATCATTTTTAAATTTTGTGTCCTCAATTATGGACGCCAGGTCTGAAAGGGTTAAAGGTTAACGAATCTTGCTACTGTAGAGGATTTGGTACCAATTCCCAACCATTTTTGCAGAACCTGACGCCTCTGATCTTCTCGTTCGAGTTGCCGATCATGGGCGCGTCGCAGGCCATGCCGGACTCCACTTCGCCCTACGTGGTGAAAATTCAAGAAAAGTACAACGTACAGGTGATGTTTCGCACGAGGCCCAAGCTGCACGCTACCCTGGTTGTAGTGAAGGGCTGCGAATGGGAGGTGTCGCAAGTGAAGGAAGCGACCTTGCTACTGATCCACTACATGTGCCAAAACTTAGCTGTAAGTACGATCCAGAACAGATCCTATCAGGCCACTTACAGGCTTGATTCTTGTGTTAAAAAATTAGTCTGCCTCTATAATCAGTTCACGATTTGACAGTCGAACTTTATTCGTAACAAATAATGGAAGCGACGGCTTAGTTTGAAAGCAGTTCATTAAATTTATTCCAATAAATGAACCGTTCATTGCACAACTCGATTACCCTCTAGAAGCCTGATTTTCCAAATTAAATTTAACAAAATATCAATATATTTATTATTTGGACAAAAAATTTTGTCGTTTAATGGTGTTAATCTTTTTTATTCAGAAAAGTTATTCTAAATATAAAAAGTTACGACTATACCAAGTGCTTCGACACTTAAATCTAAGATTTCTCAAAAGGCGGAGTTAATCGATTTGCGCAATGAACGGCTCGAATGGAGTCTACTGTACCACGTCAACAAAAAATCGGTAATGGCACGAGTAAAGCAACTCAATTCCGCAGAGTCAAATACAAGTACAAATGTCGATGGAGATCTCGCCGCAACATCACAGTATCGTGCTTGGTAAGCAGAGCAGCAACTTGAAGATGATCATGCAGTGCACTGCCACGCAAATCATGTTCCCCGACGCGGGCGACCCAAACATTCCCAGCCTGAAAAAGAGCAACATCACAATCACAGGTGGCATCCATAACGTTTACATGGCCCGACAACAGTTAGTGGTAGGTCATGTTTGCCCGCGTGATTCGGTTTCCTTATCGCGTATCGGAAGACCTCCTTATCTTCTCGTGTTGTTTTTCTCATCCGCTGGCTGTAACGTTTTTCTCGACTTTTAACATCTCGCTTCGACGGAGTGGAAGCTTCCAAGTCGTTTATGCGTTTTATAAATATCAGAAAATTCCAACAAAACTTGGACTCTCCGCGTTCCACGATATTCCGAGGCGATCTAAAATAATCCTACCCCCAAATAAAATATCCCGGATAAAAACACACGCGCTTTAACTTAGGGCTCCCTGCCGTTGGTTCTGATGTTTGACCTTCCCGAGGACACCATGTCGTCCGTCGACACGGAGAACATTTCCCAGTTGATGCAGTCGCTGGACGTGTTCATAAACGTGAGGCACAAACCCAAACAGAGCACGCTTTCCGTTATCATCAAGGGGATCGAGCGGAACGCTGGTAACATTTACGAAGCGAGGAAACAGCTGTTGGGCTTGGATGAGCCCAGGATACATGCAGAGATCCCGGTGACTTACCATGTCCCGAACGCTGGCAATATATTTCAGGGACGAACCACCAACGGGGCTGGTGAGTATCGTTGCGTTCTAAATTTACTTATGATTCGAGGATGCTATCGACTTTTCATCGCGCGTATTTTGGTAGAAGTCTGTTAGCGCGTATGAACGTCGGCCCGTTCGAAATTTCATTCGATTCGACGGATTAACTCTTTGAGGTACGCGATTATGAAAGACAAATAAAATTCAGGCAGCACAGTGTCGACAACTTGCTAACGCGTTTTGACTTGTTCCCATTTCTAATTTCACTTATTGTACGAATGAGAAACTTTAAATAAAAGTTAAGCAAAAGGTAGGATAGTTTTTAGCCCAACTAATTGCAAAGAGTTAACACGTTGAACGCCACGAACACTCACGTGTGGGTGACAGAGCTTTTTCACTAAGAAATTTCAGCAATTAATTTGAAGTATTAATGAAAATAAGTCCGAATAGAGCTCTAGTTTACAACGGTCTGAAGAGAAAACTTTAACCCTGTAGACAATTCCATGTGAATCAGTCTGAGATTCAACGTGCTAACAATTGCGATGTTTAGGTTCCAACAATCTGGTCGGCAGTCTGTCGGAGAACCTGTCGAATATGCTAACGGTGAACACGCAGAATCCTCCGTACTGCGTGTCGCCGATGTCTCACTCGCCAAATCCGATGGGCTTGTCGCCTCATTGGGGCTTACCGTCGATACCGTCCATGTTTTCGCCGCTACAGCTTCACCACACTTACCCGTATCCGCACCTCAACCATCTACTGACGACGCAGCACGTGATGCACAACAAAGCGATGCCATCTCACGCCCATGGATTACAGAACCATGCATTTCCCGGCATTGGGCAACTCCACTCCAACGTACCACGCGTTGCTGGCTTTCACAGTATTCACGGACTGAACGGCAACTTGCCGGATAGCAAGGAATGCAGTGGTAAGTTTCATGGTCGAAAGATTACCTTTGGTCTTGATCGAGTCTATGATAATTTTCTTTTCTTTCGACAGCTTATTCGTCGTTGAGCAGCGTCTCCAGTTCTCTATCTAGTCCCGCGGTCAGCCCTCGAAACGTATCGCCGGTCAATCCTACCGAGACTAGTCCTAATTTAGGTGAGCATAATTATTTCCGAGCTGATATTGCGATTCGGTACTGGATTAAGGCGCTGCGAGGCCTTCAATAATTTTTATTTTTTCCTTTGGGAAAGAAAAATCCATGAGTGTCGTTTTCAATTGCCTTGAGAATAAGTCTATTTAATCCTTCTTGTGCTATTGTCGATCTACGTACACTTTGTTACTGTTCCAACGATAAGGAACGAAGAATTGTATATTTCGTTGAACATTGTAGCGTTTAATGCTTGTGCCTAATTTATGGAACTCCCTCAACCTAATCCCTGAAGGTCCTCCAATTGGCAAAGGTCCCTAAAGCATCTGCTTCAATTTGCTCCTGGTCGCGACGAGGCTAATCTTTTCTGTCGAACAGATTTATCCGGTGTTCTATCGGATCTCTCGGTGACCGATCGACGAGCACCCGGCTGCGAGAAGAAAACTTTGGAAATGGCTGTGCAACAGAATCTCGCGCCTTTCGACTACGATCAGAAGAAAATCTTGAGCGTGAAAGCGATGCAGGCGAAACCGAACTCCAACGAGTATCGCGTTCCCACATCCACATGGTCTGGCTACGGATTCAGTCAGTCCATTCCTCCTATAAGCACGGGAGACTTGAGCAAGGTAAGGGCTAACAGAGAGATTGGGTTTCCTCGACAAATGTCACTCAGTCCCATAATTATTCGTAACCTCTGTATCTATTCAAGAAATTTGTATAATTTAAACGATACGACTCATGTTTCCAAATCAATATGCCATTATAAATATGTACATGCATAAACTTCACACATGTATATAATAATAAAATTCATTTGAAATCGTCGAGTCTATCATTTAATTTAGACAAATTTCTTCAATAGACATAGAGGGTTCGAATACTAATAGGACTGACTGTATATGTATATTAGGTTCTACAAGTTCGTTATTGTTCTACTATTCAAATTTGCGACGCGAACTTATGGCATTAGATACGTTGACATGCTTGAAGCAGGTTAATAATATAAGTGTCATAGATATATCGAACTCAGACTATGGTCACATACCGTATTTCAAATACCGAGACACCAGAAGCTATTACTGCATAATTACTCTCCTTTTTGGATACCTTTTGCAGACACCTATACCTTCACATACCGATTCTGCTATTAGATCGTACAACGTTCCTTATGAATTCAGTTTTTTACTTTGCAATTAATAAATAAATAAAAGTACCTGTTTTGTTTTCAATCGCAGGAACTGACCACCTCTCGTCCGTCTGATTTGTGGAAAGAACCAACGACGCCAGTGTTCAGCGGAGAGATTGACTTCGGAATTGGATCCGGCAAAGACCGCGTTGGACAAATCGGCGTGAGCTCGAATTACATGGAACACACGCCGAGCACGCATCTGAACAAAATCCTGTCTCACCGGTACACCGATTTGACCAGCATGCTGACCAGCGTTGGATTGGAAAAATATATTCGTGAGTTATACGATAAAAACAATGCCTATGCATCCCGTACACACGCTTTATACGTCACGCTTCCGCTTCGAGCTTAGCCATACATGTCGCTTGTTTTCTGTCCGCCAGGCCTGTTCACGTCTCACGAGGTGGACATGGCTACGTTTCCCACGTTGACGGAGAAGGATCTCTGCGAGATCGGGATATCCGCTTGGGGCGCGAGGCGCAAAATAATGCTGTTAATCGCTGGTACGTAAGCTGACCGATCGTTGCAAGCTAGCCTCGAGCAAAATGTAATGCACGATTCTGATTCATTGTGCAATCGGTAATCATGATTGATTAACGAAGAATAAACGTTCCTCGTTAGTATGATAAATGAAGTTATAAAGATAGCCTAATGAGCACCGTTTCGGGTCAGGCTATTTTTTACCATTACTGCGAATGATTGTGCACTTGTGACAAATTAAAATATAGGAGACTGTATAAGGAAGTCCATAATGCATCAATGGAAAACTATACACGTTACGCTGTTTAGAAAATAAGATGTGAATTCGCGTAAACATTCGCAGTCCAATCGTCAGGGTTTAGATCAATTTAATTTTCACTTGCACACTTCTCACCAATTTCACGGTAGAATTTTGTAATCTCCTTGCTTACTCGTTCCTGGCATTTTTGCACGTTCCTTTACACAGGTTCGAAAACTGAAATTGTACCGTTTGCCCTTCCAGAAATGAACAAACGAACTAGTACATTCTGCGGCAGCGCGGCTCCGGGCGCGGAACGGAAGGCGACAACGTCAACGGCTACGACGTCGATTGAGAAGTGCAATCTGGACAGCAAGTGGTAAAACAGGACGAGAAGAAATGTCGCGGGTCCCGCGATATTTATGCGAAACTGATACAGCACCGATGAATTTCGGACAGTGGTACTTAAACGTTAGCAACGCGCTCGGACGCGGACAATCGCATTTCAAGACACGAGAACATTGATAATCGATGATCGATTTCACGCGGGAAGGTCCCGGCGACTCGACACGTTGGTTCGAGAATATAATTAGTAAGTTAATTTGCGATTTACCAGGCACCGGACGAACACCCCCTGATGATTCTTTTTTTGTGATCGAGGACCGTCTCCGAATTCTTTTTTTTTTCCTTTTTTTTTGTCCCACACACAGTTCTCGATTCACTTGCTCGAACGGTGCCTTAGGTTAAGAAGCTCGTTACTACTTTCGTTTCGTTAATTTTTTTTTACGTTGCTAGAATGGTCTTTTCCCAGCGTCCAGCGACGCTCCGCGCGGATCGACGCCCTTGTTCGTCGCCGGGGCGTCGCTCGACGCGCGTTGCGTATCGTGTGTTTCTGTGTAACGGTGAAGAGTTCGTGATGTGGCGTACAATGTGAAATCGGTGATAACGGTTCAATTAGATTAACGATTCGTCGGAGCAGCGAGGCTTCGGAGCTTGATAAGCGACGGGCGAGGGATGTCCCGTGCGTTCAACGGCCTTTCGCCCTAGCAAAGTTAAAATATTTAATCTCGACTAAGCTCGAAATTCGGCGGGCGAACGGTGCCCGCGGTTTGAGACAACGGAACGCCCCGCTCGCAGCCGCGTTTTCGAGTTTTACAAAGTAACAAAGTATTTATTATTCATTAGCGAAAGACGGTGAACGCACGCCGAGCGACTGCAAGAACATTTCCCACGTAGAGAACAGAAAGGCGGACGATGCGAGCTTCAACGTTCGGGGACACTTTGAGCACTGTACGCGAAACGATGCCTGGCTCGACTCTTTAACTGCTAATTATTATTTACCTACCAGGTATAAATCGGAGACGAGCTAAATTTCTATCGAGATAAAAGTAGCCGAATAACGAGGAAAAGTTAGTCATCTTTTCATACGTTATTTATTCGATAGTAGTTACAATGTGAAATGTAACATTAAAGTATATTTCACATTGGACACGTAACTGTTGGATCGAATAAATATAGAAAATAGATTGCCACATGGTATCCCTATTTGTCATCTTGTAGTCGATAGAATTTTATTCATCTTTGATCCAGACGTACGATACCGACCACCCTATTTCAATCCATTAATATTTAAATTATGGAAATATTAGGGTCATATGCCATAGCAAACGTTCTGATAATGCCGTTGTGTTCCCATCGAGCCAAGTGCAGCCAGGATAGAGCACTCGTTCCTCGTGCTACACGTTTGAGCGTACAATACGATTCGAACGTTTCACACTCGAACAAGTGTATAAGCTCGAAGTGCCCTCGAATATCTAATTCGACTTTAATTCCATCATTTACGTTCTCCGCGTTCGACGAGTCTTTCGCAGCTAAACGGTCAGCCACGATCGATCGTGCGATCGATCATTTCGGGTGCGCCGTGAGTTCTCTTCCCTTTTCTTGATTTTTTACGCATAAATACTCGAGGAACACTATTTTCGTTACAATAAACCGCACATACGCGTTCGCGGTCCACTTTACACAGATAGCAAATTTTACGGAAGTAAGATATCTCGCTCGATATAAATTATTAATGTTTTAAACCTATTTTTTTCTTTTTTTTTTTGCACAAATGGAATAGAAGCGTTAGGCAACGAGCTCCGGCGACATGTTCGCTGCATCTGACAACATTCAGGGAAACAGACGTATTCCGTTAAAGCGATTCAGGCGTCCAATGAATTTTGTATCGTCAGGAATATAAATTGTTCTGTCGGTCGGTATACAGAAATCGGAACGTCTCGCGGCCGAGCTTTACCGAAAATGCCTAGCGAACAATTTTATCGCTAAAAGTTCTTGACTAAGTCATTTTGTGAAGTTTTTTTATGCATAAATTATTCTTCGCGGTGGAGCACGATCAATCGTGCTCGGAAGTGATCGAAGTGTTAGTAGAGATAAAAAAAAAAAAAAAGAAATACTATGTGTTTCCTACACGTGTGTGATGTAACAAGACTGTCCGATCGTTCCTGTTCCTCGTGTTCGTTTCCTGTTAAATATGTAGAAATTTCGCGAACTAGCTGTGCCTTCATAACGAGGAATTATTGTTTTTGTTTGTGCGATAGCGATGGAACGTCGCAGAGCATTAGAATTGCAATTGTCGATCGCCGTTATTTCGAGAATCCTAATCGATGCTCGCGAGCCCCCGTTCGTTTCGCGCGCGTATTATTCTTCACACATCCGCCTTTCTCTATGTGAAATTCTTGCACGTTCGATCGGGATTCCATGAATTTTTCTGGACAGATAATGTCACTATTCTTCGATGTTCCTATCTAATATATTTACATATATATATATACTAATTTTGCATGATATAGCGAATAAAGTAGCTGTTACGGAAATTAAAAAATTATAATGGAGTGAGTGGAAAAGAAAAAAAAAAAATGCTATACGAGGACGCGACAATGAAGCTTTTCAATGCCTAGCGCTCGAGCATCACGGTGTACAAGCTGAAACGAAACTGACAGATTGCAAATGGCAAATTTCTTGACACGTCTCTCTCTCTTTCTCTCCCTTGCCTTTTCGACTTCCTCCGCGGCGGGCAGTGATATTATATCGTTGCATGGACACTTTCCGTGAAAAACTGTATTCGTCGCGATAAAATTCCATTGGTTGTAGCATTTCGCGTGATAATGTGTACTTTTTACAAGACAGAAATACGATACCAAGCAACGAGACGAGAGAGGGGTCGGCTATAAAGTTACTATTCTTCGAGATAGTTCAGTTAACAGAACCATGCCTCTTCGGAGGATGCTTCCATATGAAAAGAAAAATACAATATCGAAAGTAGTGTCAATAGTTGATGCATATCCGCGACGCGTATTCCGACGAAACGCTTCGCCGCAAAGCTGCAATTTTGTCGTCGATTCGTTACTTTTTTTTTTTTTTTTGAAAGCACCTTCGCGGCGACGACGTTACTCGGAATTCGTCTCGGAGCGACGAACCGCGGAATCGATATTCCACGAAACGTATGCCATGTCCCCGTTTTGCTCCGGAACGTTAGGTATTTCATCCCGTGTTTATTTCGCCGATGCGAACTCGCGTTTCTTTCGACGTAGGAAGAGTAAGGTGTGTTGTACCCGATAATGTGATTCAACGTAGCTTTCACTAGTGCCTGTAAGAAGTCGGAAAATAATCTTACCGCGATTAACAAATTTAGTATTATAACGGGATACGGTAGCGTTAATTATTATATCTCAGGTTAACCGTTTCAGCTAGTTGCGCTCGTGTTCTAGAATCAACGAAAACGATTCGTGTTTCCTTTTCTTTTTTTTTTTTTTCGTAAAGCCCGTTCGAAACGCAAACAACCGAAGTATTCGTCCAACGACGCGTTTACGTATTAATAGATGAGAGAGGAAAAAGAAAGAAACATTCCAACAACGAATAGAATTCGAACGAGTCAAAGGTTAAGCATGAAAGCGGATGAAACGAGTTTAATTAAACGTATTTTCCGATGTGTTTTCCGTATCAACGATAACTCTTGCTAGATTAATCGAAAGACGTGCCCGCCCATCGAGCAACACAGCGGCAATTCAACGAATAAATTAACGTGCAACGTGTATCGTTGCGTATCGCGTTGGATGTACGAAAATGGAGGATCGTTTTACGATAACGCAGCATGATATTTTTATACGGTAATCCAATTCCGAAAAGCAACGAATGTTATCATACCCCCGATCTAATTACCGTTTGTTTCGAAGGAAACGTCGAGGAAATAGAAATATTGTATCGAAGCGGATAAAGAAAATTTTGTATTGCTATTTTGTAATAAAAAAATATATATACAACTATACATAACGTATTTACAATGTCCATTTGGCCCTGTCTTTCCATTTACCGTACCTCGAATTTATACGAAACGGATAATTATAAAATTGTTGCGTTTATATAGTAAGTCCATCGTTTACTAATACTAATTATTCTTTTTGGTGTTACAAGTATTATTGAACTTCTTTCCAGATTTGCTAGTCTTGTGACAAAATATACTATCAAATTTTAAAATCATCAAGAATATTACTACACTGCAGACTTTATGCATTTCCATCATACGCAAACATAAAAACCATGTGCACAAGGTATATAGAATATTTTATGAAATATACTTTACACATGTTTCGTATACGATTTTCATACAATAATACACCATGAATCCATAAAATCCGCACTCTGTTCCACAAAAAATAATTTTTCTTTTAACATACGGGAGAACCTTCCGAAATGTAAATAGCCTCAAGCCTCCTTTGATCTCCGAGAGGTTCTGCACCGCGATCTTAGAGCGTTTCATATTGTCTCATCGCGAGGATTCAGCGACGCAGGCGACGTTTCGAACATTTTCATATCTTCGACGCAAAGTTCCGCGCCGCAGTCGTAACATTGAATTTGATTCGTCGCCGTGAAGTGAGCCTTTAAGCAATAATAACAGTAGACATGTTCGCAACCTGCGTGCGCTGGCATAATCGGATTATCGTTGCAGTACGAACATTTTGTGCTCGCATCCATGCTGGGAAACGATCTCAGCAGCCTGTCTCGATTGCCACGCGACAGAAGTCTTTTTATCGCATGTTTCAAATAGTGAAAATTGATCATGGGTAATCCAGTGGTGAATAACTCCATCAAACCGTGCCAGAGGAGTTCTCTGGTCATGTACGAGTACCCGATATTTCTAGGTTTGTGAGTAGTCGTAGAACGACTCGCTATCCCGAGCAAATATTCAATGATACGAGGCTGCGTTCCGCGATGTAGGAAGATCAACAGATTGATAAACTCGAGCAGTTTCGACAAATTCGCGATGCGATCGAAAAGCTCGTTCAATCTTTGATTAGCGACACCGCCCACGAGTTTATCGCGCACGTAAGTCGGGCCGACGGTCAAAACCAAATACAGAATGGACTTTGTACGGTTGATATGCTCGTAATGCAAATTGAGTAGTTGTTGGCCGAAGGTCGATTTTCCGTGACGCAGCGAGAAATACCAAACGAAAAACTTAACGATCGCGTCGATCTCCGGCTGCCATCGATCGGCCCTGTCCACCAGTTGATACTCGGTGATTTTCTTCGCTTGATCTCTGAGAACCTTGTAGATCTCCTCGTCTAGTTGCACGGCGTCGATCTGGTTGACCCGTGACACGTAAGGAGACGCCGGCATTGCTGCTTGTTTACTGAAAAATAAAAAAAAAAAAAATAAAAAACAGCGCGTACCGTTCCGTGAAGCGGCGTTTAAGGTCGCAGGACCGAACGCAAGGTCGCCGTCGGCGATTGGACGAAGAAGAAAACTTACTTTCATTCCGACACTATCGTGATAGTTAAAGAAGGGTGGATTTCCAGTTCCGTTATCCTATACATCCCTTTTCTTTAGCTTGGGCTCTTCTTTCACTCGTCGAGTATTCGATCTGTAATTTAAAAAATTGTTTATCTAATTAGTCGGGCTAGTGGATGCAATGGGAGGCATGTCAGTATTAAACAAAAATCTGTTCTAACTATAGGAGGCTAATACACTGATGTAAATTACTAACACTAATGTGAATAAGTTAATATTTTTGTTCTTATGCTATTCAACGACTTTATTCGTCGTACTATAAAGCAGAACATGGCATTTTAAAGAAGAGAGGTAAAAGGGCAACGTACAGCGAACGGCTGTTTTGCGGCCTAACCTAACATAAGACGAACGAGAGGACGTTGTTATGTATATACAAGAAGACGAAAATGGAGTACAATGAAAAATGAGAAACGCAGGAATCTTCGAAATGCATATCGATTGACAGCAAGTCGAACCAGTCACGAGACTTCAAATTTGTAGTCCAAAGGAGTAACATTTAACCGGAACCTAGCAATTGAAGCATTACTGAGCCACGAGGACGAATTGGAGTATACGTTTCGTGAAACGAGGATATTATTATTTGTATCGCATGCCATGCGTACCTGTGTTTGGAAGCCCAGTCGCGCGCGATCCACTGGTCGAGTCGGGATACGTCGGAAGTTGGAGAAAATCGACGACGAAATACGAGCCAGAGTCGATTCGTCGAAAAACGTGCAACAATCGAACTCGCGGTACACGTTCGATTGCTTTGAGCCTGGAGGCAGCGTACGAGCACTAAACGTGGAAGTGAGGTTAGGTGGACGACGTTTGCGTCGCGACGCGGACCGACGCTACACGAGCCGGTACGAGTGCGAGCGTCGGTCGTCGGCTCGACTCGGTTTCGACGACGTCGTCTGTACGAAGCGGAGGAGGCATCGCGACGCGCAGCTTCGATTTCGAATATCGGGATTCCCGCAGTGAAGGAATCGCAGTCGCGGGGCGCGCGCGCGCGACTGCCCTCTGTAGCGTTCCCTCGGAAATCACGTGGAAAAAGGAGCGAATTAGAGTCGCGCAGGGCCGCAGAGAGAAGCAAACAAGAGGAAACGAGTAGTCCGCCGACCGTCGGCAGACGGGTGTCGGACGTTGTCAGTGGTGGTCGACGGTGTTCGGTCAGTAGCGAATACGAGTGAGCGAGGCGAAGCTCGCTAGGTTTGAGGTTAGCTCGAGGGACAGCTGTCGGAGCGAGCGCAACCGAACTTGAGACTCTCGAGCCTGCGTCCTATCGCGTTTCGGGCTCCATGTTGCCGCTGGTGGAATGACGTCATCGAGTGTTGGTGCTTCGGCAGTGGGCTCCTTCCTCACCCGTTCTATCAAAGTTCTCCGATCATGTTTTCGTGATAAATTTTGAAGTTCATACTGGTGCGGCTGACGGTGAACTCGGTGAAGTCGGCGGTTCCCGGTCGCCGATACGCGCAACCGTGCTCGGCTGCCACGCATCTACCACTTGGAGGTGAGTACTCCAAATTATATAATGTCCCCCAGTCTTTTTTTCCCGTGAAACACGAACCGACGGTCTCTCGGAACATCGATCCGCCAACTGACAGGTTAACCTCCGATCCGTCCGTTCGCTGTCCCTTATCGTCTCCGTTTCGCTCGTTCCTCGTTCCTTCCGTCCACGGAAACGTTCGCCTAGACGGTGTCTCTCGCGTTCTCGTCGATTTTTGCCCGTTTTTGTCCGCTTTCCCTCGTATCGTCGAGAAAAACCGTTCAATTCGTCGTGCCTCTATAACCTCTTATGGTGTCCCCGTCGCTAGCACGCATTGCCTTAAAGCGCATTACCAGTCGGCCGCGTTGCACGCGTTATTTTCGTGTCGGCCACTTGTTCGCGACCACCGATCGCTTACTCTCTAGCATCCGTCACCGGTGGCCTCCCTGTATTTCGAACATTCGGACCTAACCGGCAACGATTTACGTTACGGCGTACCTCGTCAATCTTCGCCGGTCGCGATCGATATCGAAAGCACTTCTATTTTACCCGAAGTGTCGTTAACCTTTCCATTCGTCGCCGTCGATCCGCGAAATCGGATGCTAACCTTTTTGGCCGACGGATATTTCATTGGCACGTTCGCGACTCGTGCCGTATTTATCTTTACCCGTGTTTATCGACGCGGTTTTCAACGTTCCATCGTCGTGGAAATACGACCGTACGGTCGAGCAGGTCGCGTGTATCGCGTATGCGAACGAAAACAAATACGGAATTTCGGAGTGGCACGCGGCACAGTTTTTGAACGACGGCTATCGAGTGGCTCGGTTTTTCTTCATCTCGAAGGAACCTACTTTTTCTCCGAACCTTTCTACATTATTTCGGATAACCCTGTTTCCCGAATTCTCGATGCACACCAATTTCCCAAACACCACCGTCCACCGCGTACGCGGTTTCGATGGAAACTGGGCGTGGCGTGCAAAAATTTCGTTGCGGCGTGTATTTTTACAAGCGTTCCTTCCCTCTGGTTCGTTATTTCGAAGCAGCATTCGCGTGGTTCGCGATCGCTGGGTTCTCGTCGGGCACCGGTGCTCGAACCGCAAGGGGAAAATTTGCGCCGATGAATGCGGTGGCACGCTGCAAAATATACAGGGTGGCCTCGACGTATTTGGCAAAAAAAGCAGAATTATATTCTTCTTGGGAGAAACAAATGAATGTATGAAACGCGACAAATCGTATGATTTCTTTATAGGGAGCAAGTTGTTAAAATTGTATATTTATAGATCGAACCAGTACTGTTATAATTTTAATTCTTCTTTCCTTTTCGATCTGGTATATTTCCCCTTATTTATTAAATAGTTTATTCTCAACTATAGGAGAATATTTTTGATGTTTAGTAAAAAGGGCTTGAGGCTAAATTATATTTTTCTGGAGAGAAACAAATGAATTCTAAATATGTGACAAATATTATTTATTTATGATAATGAACAAGTTTTGATCTGTTATTAGTTCAATACGATTTAGAATTTGTTAGAGCTTCATATGTTACACTATTATCGAATTATTATATAAATACGAATTTCGCTTTCCCGAAAGACATCTTGTCTCGATCGTTTTTCTGCCTCGAATGGATCTTTAAGCCCGCGATGATCGTGTATGTACTCTCCGATCGTTTATTATGCTGAAGAGAAAGGGGAATCGTTCTACCGACGGCACGTGTCTTTCTTCGTCTCATCGTTTCGCACACGCACCATCCACTTGCGCGAGCCAACTTAAATCGTATATCGATATCTTTTTAGTGATTTCGTTGTCTCAGACCTCTAAATGCCCACGAATTATTCGATCCATCCTTTAATGAGATTTCGATTCCAATTCCTATGAATCAACATTACTTTCTGCTTTACTATCCGTGTGACTATAAAGAGGAAACAAATGAGGAACTACGAAATAGTATCATTCCAAGTTTCTTCGGATAATTAGATGTTTGCCACGTGCACGACGTTCGGACGGTTCGATTGCCGGTCAAGTGCTCGAAAATTAAATTATTCGAACAGTCAGAGTCTCAGTATCGATTGCAATCCAGCGATATCTTGGTTCCTCCGCCTCTTGACTCCGACCTTAATTTATGGGCCGTGCCGTGCGGTGCCGTTGACGCGGAAGACTCGTTCGTGCAAGCTTTTCACCGTTGTCGCTTTTCACCCGGTGACGTTATTTATCGGCGCGCGTATATCCGTTCGCCGACACTGCTATCCGCGAAACTCGTCTCGCTATGGTATTACGATGCGATTTAGGGTTTCGATAACTCACCGACTCGTGCTCTGTTTCTCGTTACGTGTCGTTACGCTTAGCGTAGGCAGTCTCTTCGCGAACGCGAACTTTCGTTACGAACTTTGTCGAAACAACGTATATCTTACTTAGGATTCGTTCTTCTCAGGGGCCTCTATGTGGAAAGGTTAGTTACGAGATTTTGTATGTTCCCATGATAGATTTCGGTAGTATTGATAACTACGTAGCCAGAAAGTGGACGAGTTGTTCAAGTTTGTTAGACGTTAGCAATCCCTCTTGGCTGCAACTTATAACGATGGTCGAGGTAAGGAGAAACATGTAACTCTCCAGGTTCCTCCTTGGTAATTAAATATAGAAGTTGTGTTTCTATACAGTCGGGACTTTACTGTCTTACCTCGATCGTCATTCTAAGCTCTAGTCAAGATAATTGCTCGCGTCCATCGAGCAAGCTCTATATGATGACCACTTACATAGTTATCCATCGTCACCTTGAGCAACGAAAATACAAATATTTCTGTGACGCTAATAGGTTTGGGTGGGTTAAGCAATACTGGTTTCCGTAGTTGGATTTATATATACGGTAATGCTTATCTATCACAGCCTGCATTAGCCGTGACGCTATTAGTCGCTTGAGTAATCCGTTTAAAGTGATTGTATATTAATAAACTAAATGGAGACTGTACAATCCACGCCTAGAGCAGGATCTATCGGGTAACCTTATTGTAAAGTTTACGTAGCAGATTCAGGACAAATTATCATTTATTACTCACAAAAGGATTTATTTTATTCACATACCGAATGTTCTGAAAATGTTTCACGAGTTCTCTGTTCCTCGAGTTGATACGAAGCAAAACCGATTAACTCCGTGAACAAAAACTAGAGTTGGCCAGTTTGACTTCTGAAAGGCTGATTTGTCGGCGTTTCGTCGGGACCAGCCGACAGGCGAGCGATTAATTAATATTTCTCGTTTTGGTTGGCTGTCCCGATTCGCGAATCAAACTCGATAGACGGTTTGCACTCTACAAATTACTTCTCTACAATACGCTTCGTCGAGCACGAGACAATCGACCTTTTTATGTCCCGTTCTCGAGCATCGCGAGTTCGCCCCTCGCGTTCATTCTACACGCGGAAACGTTTTTCCATTATTCGAGTAAAATTATTAAATTCGTTATAATTAGTTGCTGGGTACATTATTCTCCATAAGTGAACGTGTACTATACTTTCGTTTAGCTCTGGATGAAATGGTAGGATGAAATGGTAGCTCGTAAATTTACAAAAGTTAGTCACCTGTGAGTATACCTGTAGGATCCGGGTTCTCGTTTACTCCTATCTAAACGTGTACCTGTGTTCGCGTCTTTAATTTACGAGTTCGCTCTATCTCTTCCATCGTGTAAACTGCTTCGCGACAAACAGAGACGCGTGGCCGTAAAACGCTCGTCGGCGGTTTTATCGTTAAACGGCGTTAATGGGAGAATAATGCGCGATTGCTCCGCGATCCCGTATTGCCAGACGATCGATTAGCTGCTACTCGTTGGTAGGTATTATCATTAGTGGCACAATCCGGCGATTTACCGATTCCACTCGATTTCTTCGTTTACTCTGCCAGAGTCCACTTGCGAATAATCTGGTTCGGTCGGAAAATTGATGGAGACACTTTTATTGGAGTAGATGAAGAATAGGATGCAAGACTGGTATAGCTGTTTACTTGATTAAACAGTTAGTAAGTTGTGTAAAAGAAAGAAAGGTGGATAAGGTTTGTCATCATCAGATGGCCGTTATCAAATTTTATTTTCTTTGTATTTTAATTCACTTACGATTCGCATAATTTATCTTGTTTTCTTTTGTAAAGATTTTGGTCAAATTTTCATACACAAAATCATAGCCGAAATTCCAATTTTCATTCAAAGGCTAACGAATAAAAGGTTGTGCATCTTTTATTCATTACCAGACATTCTTATGGAAATGCGAAATTTTCCTATCTCTGTAAAAACGAGCGCACAGCCATTCCGCAACGCGGACATCGCGAGGCGTTGACACAGAAATATTGCCACACGACGGGACGCGCTCGAATTTAAGGAAACGCGCGCGTACTTGAGCCGAAAAGCTTGACGACTCGAGTGCCACTTCGCATGGAGAAAAAAAGA